CAATTCAAGAAGAAGGAAAGACACATAAACAGTCAAAATAAATATACAAATAACTTTTTTGTCTTATATGTTAGATGGATTAATATGATGATTTTATAAAAATGCCCTCACCATGATAATTTCTCCGATCATTTCTCTTCTTGTCACCTTCTTGTCCGATGCAAAACAGATTTGTCGCCCAGCGCTATCTGGGCAGTGTGCACTGTGTGGTTTTCGTGACACTTTGATGTTATTTAAAACTCACACTTTGGCAAGTGTGAAGTTTACAATGGTTTGTCTTTGCAAAATCTAAGAACTTGCGTCGTTCAAATACTGAGCTCAACTGGAACAACTCTGGCGTCATTCTTGACTCTCACATGAAACAATCTTAAGAGGGGAAGTAACATGGTAATAATCAAGTGGTTGCATGTTTCTAGCCACTATGTCCATCAACAGCCATGTGTCATGCTGATGTGTCCTTAAGCAAGACATTCAGCTTCTCACAAATGAAAGATCTAAAAAAAAAAGCTGAGATTGTACAAAACAGAAACGGGATTCTTGGAGGAATTCAGATGTGGTTTAGGACAGGCCAGGGCCACCCAAATTGGGGACATACATTTGGAATTTGTCAATCTGACAGTAGAAAAATAAAACCTTTATCTCCACTTTAAAATGTTTTAGAAAAGTATTCTGCTATGTGTGCCCATAAAGTGATATATCACAATACAAGTGGTTATAAATCTTTCTCTGCAGCACATTACGTGGTCTGTAGCTCATAAAAAACATGTTTCCTTTTGCCTTGAGGTAGATTTGAAACCATTCACTATTCAATGAACCCTTGCATGTATGTACTTTCATGCTTTTAGTAGTACATCTGCAACTTTTGAGTAATATTTGAAAAGATAAATCTGATATAATCATAGCAATCTTACTGTCATCAAATCCCACAACAAGACTATAACCAACAATGTGTTGGTCTGTCTCTCCATTCGTAACTTAAACCTTATCTATGGCACTTATCCTCAAGTCTTTTCGTTCCAAACAGAAGTAAACAGTGCATATCTTTTGGAGTATCTCAGCAGCAAATTAATACATATGTACAATTGAGTTGTAAGGCTTATAGAAAAACACATTTGGTAAAAGTAATCTAGTGTTTACATTAATACATTTCACAATGTGTCTAATCAGATTTCATATATTTAATTATGGTAATTGTTTTGTTTTGAAAAACAGATGGTTCAATCAATCAATCAATCAATCAATCAATCAATCAATCAATCAATCAATCAATCAATCAATCAATGTTTATTTATATAGCCCAATATCACAAATGTTACATTTGTCTCAGTGGACTTCACAGTTTGTACAGAATATCAGTATGACAATACGACACCCTCTATCCTTAGACCCTCACATCGTACAAGGAAACACTTCCAGAGAAAACCCACAGTTTAAAGGGAAAATGGGAGAAACCTCAGGGAGAGCAACAGAGGAGGGATCCCTCTCCCAGGACGGACAGACGTGCAATAGATGCCGTGTGTACATTGAAAAGATAATACATTTGCAACATAGGTAGTCCAAATGTTTGGAAATGCATGTGTGTATAATAGGAAGATGAATCAACGAGGATATCCATCCAGGACCCATGATCCAGGACCACAGCCACGACTCAAGATCCAGGGCTCGCGATGCAGGACACAGGACCGCAGGATCATCCATGACTCCGGATCCCGGCGTATATAGACACCAAAAAGAAAGAAATTTGGGGAAGCTGGGTTAATCGGAACATGAGAGTACACAAGTATAGACAGAGAGAAGGAAGAAGTAAGATGTCCCCCGACAAACTAAGCCTATATCAGCAAAACTAGGGGCTGAATCTAATCAGCCCTAACTATAAGCTTTATAAAAAAGGAAGGTCTTAAGCGCACTCTTAAAAAACGGATAGGGTGTCTGCCGCCCGAACATAAACTGGAAGCTGATTCCACAAATGTGGAGCTTGATAAGAAAAGGCTCTGGCTCCCATTGTACTTTTAGAGACTCTAGGAACAACCAACAACCCTGCATTCTTGGAACGCAATGCCCTAGTAGGACAGTAGGGTATAATGAGTTCTTTAAGGTAAGATGGCGCCTGCCCATTAAGGGCTTGTAGGCGAGAAGAAGAATTTTAAATTCTATCCTGTGTTCTATAGGGAGCCAGTGTAAGGCAGCCAGAACAGGAGTAATGTGGTCCCTTTTCCTAACTCTGGTTAGTACACGAGCTGCAGCATTTTGAATCAGCTGAAGCAACTTGACTGACTTCTTGGTACACCCTGATAATAAAGAGTTACAATAATCCAGCCTTGAAGTAACAAATGCATGGACTAGTTTCTCTGCATCGTTTTGAGGCAAGATATGCCTGATTTTTGCAATGTTACGTAGATTGAAGTAGGCGGTCCTTGAAATTGATTTTATGTGTGTTTACACCCTAAGCAACACATTCAAAGTTAACAATATAATATGTGCATCTTTCCACATGCTCTTCATCAACCCCAGGATGCGTGGTTTTGACAGAAAGTGAATCAAACATATTTTTCAGTTGTTTTCACATTTTAGTACTTTTTGGCTTTGTGTCTCCATCCCATACATTTTAAAATGACATTAGGGAATGTAGTGACTGGGAAACTGTAATCTTGAGCTGTGGAAAACAGGACAAAGCCACTGCCACAAACTGCCTTTTTTTTCAGGTAAAAAATGTCTTACGAATTTGAATCTCATTACCATGTCATGAATACTTCTTTGGGATCCATTAGGTGTTTCCTGCCTAAAACTACAATAAGAATTCAAAATTCATCCAAAAAAGAAAAGAAAGAATGGGAAATGAGAATAAAGCCCCAGCGAGAACATTACTGTAAAGCTGTTTTAGCTCTTTCAGTCCACTTAAGACAATTTGAGTGACTGACAGATGATAGCAATAAAAGTAAGAACAAACTGGCCATTTTACTGCGGTAGGGCCATTTGAGAAGGGATTATTAACTTGTCAGCATTTCAAACTGAGACACAACTTTTTTTCCTGCAAAACACATCCCCATGTCTCTGTTACTTTTATTAGAAAGTCTTTAAACCTTTTGACCCCGGAGGGCCTCCATTATTGGCTGTTAATAGGAACTCGCTGGTCAGTGAGGAGACCTAAGTGCCCTATTAATCATTTGTTTAGAGCTCGGGTCTATTTTGGAAACTTTGTGTTTAGTGTGGGTTAAAAATAGGAGGAGGCTCATCGAGACAGCCGTCCGCCACTCATCGCTCAGGCTGTCAGGACGCGTGGGCCCTTGGGGACGCGGACAGGAGACCCCTCAAGCCATTGAAGTTCAAAGGTCGCAAGGTTTATCATTATTACCCACTTACTCTGTGGCGGCTGACATTGTTTGTGTGATGGCTAAAAATAGAGGCTAAAAACTTGCTCTAAACAAAAAAATCATTTAAATGAAGGTAATTTCTAAAGATTTCAATCCACATAAACAGTCTAGAATTTCATGTCAGAGCTGTTAGACACTTTAGTTTAGAAGTAAAATGTGCGGTTCATGAATAATACACGAGCAAAGCAAATGCTGCTACATGCTTACCGCACCAAATGCCACAAGTAAGTGAGTTGTTTGCTGGCGGATTGAGAGTGATGGGAAATAAAATGTCATGGGTTCAAATCATTAATCTTGTCAAATATTGTTATACGACAGGGGAAAATACAGGTGTGGAGATTGCATCGGCTGATAAAACATTACTTACAGCCATTTTTCCAATAAGCCATGGACTCAGTGCTGTCAATATTTGGAGGGGGATGTGAGCTATGCCTAGCGAAGGCCATTTTTCGAGGAGCAGAGAGCCTGCTGGGAAAAATACAGTGGTTCATGCTGGGTCTCCGGGAAGCTGAAAAGCCATCGGCAAAAAGCTATGAATTATTTTGAGCGCAAAATACATTTTCTTTGAAGACTGTCGGGCCATTAGAGCCCTTTTGCTCCCTTTTAAATTGTTTTTATGCTGTGAGTAATGTTAACCTTTGCTTTTGTAGTCACGAAATTCTCTCTGCACCTTTTCCCCTCCTGGCACAAAGCACAGATGGGCTGGAAAAAGCTGGAAATAAAGTATAGGAACCATTTACTGGGAGAAAGAATGGCTGTGAGAGGAAGGAACTGAGGCTTTTATTCTGACGTCTAGACCACTGTTCCTTAGTAGTTACAGACTACAGTCCAATGTGGATAATAATAAATCCACTCGAAGATTATTCACTTTAAATATATTATAAAGCTTGAATTTAATATTGCAGTAAAAACTTTTAAATACTTTGCTGCTACTTGAGGTCCAAAATCATATAGGAATTATGATTCGTGAGTATAATAGTGAGTTTTTCAAGTAAGCGGTTTTATCAGTGGGAGCATGAGCTAATGGGCCCCTAGGCAAATACATAAAAAGGCCCCATAAACCAGAGCATCCACCCCCACATTGTTAACAGTCCCTTTGCATGTTGTTGTTTTTTGCATTTCTTTTACAGCAAAATCCTGTTTAAAATGACTCACAGTTCCCCTCTTTCTAATAGTATGTGACCCAAGGCAAACATGTAGGCTACTCAATAAATAAGTCCATCTATTAAAACCACACAGATGGAATCGGTAGCTTTTTGACTCGGGTGCCCTTGGGCCCAAAGATTGGTATTTTTAAAAACACCAATTGAAACAGAACAATAGTAAGTAATCATTAGTAATACATTGATTTAGTTATGGCGAAGCACCTGTGATATGACAAAACGTAGGCCATACCTTCTTGGCCTGATTGTGGCTGCTGTTGGTAGGATTAGGGTAAAACACAGCAGGGAAGATTTTATGGCACTTTCACTGAGTAGGTCAAGTTTAAGTCTCAGAGACAGATATAGAAACTCTCTCTACAACACACATTATCGGATCATTGAATGGACGTGACACGCACAGGCCACTGATCTGCTGACCTCTCGTGCCCAGCTGATCCTCTTTATCTTCCTTTCACTGCACCGGCGCGTGTCGTCACGCAGGAGGAAGTGCTCGAGACTAGTTGACGGTCAGCTCGCTTTAGCATGGCAGGAAAGGTAAAATGAGTTTTGCATTTAAGTTTCTGATTTTTGTGGGGAGCTGTTGCATTGTCAGTGATGGTGCTCGGTCCCGGGAGTGTCTCCACCGGAGCTCTGCGCCGGTTATAATGTGTTCCCGGAGGGCTCGTTTAATGCCGGGTAGCCTGCTTAGAGGATGTGCTAGAGATTAACTCTGACCATACGGCAATGACATTGAGGCTTTACTGTATCCGGTTAGCTAAATTAACAATGTAAGAGTTTGCGAACAGTTCCCTATTTATACTGAACTGTCATTTCATTATTGTTGCAAAGAGCAGTATACTGTTGCTGATTTGAATGCATGCTACTTATATCAGGCATCAGTCAACAGGTGTGTCCCTGCGAAATGAGTTCAGGTAGTGAGTGACAGGTAACCTTGGTTAGCATCATGCTATATGCTGTGGCATCCTATTCATTAACGTTAACTACTTGCAGGTGCAAAACGTTTCTACAGGTTTGAAGGGAAGTTTAAACATGGCTGCATGCTACTGTCATGGAAGCCTATTTGTTTACATTCTGTACACTTCAAGGCTGGATAATTGGACATTTCCTTCAAGCCACTTTGCTTTCTATTTTTTTTTACTTGTTAAGCCCCGAGCCTGTTTTTCAGGTCTCAGGCTCGAAAATGACATTCCCAGAACAAATGACCATATCTTCCCTTCTAAAAGGGTTAAATTAATAATATTTTTTCTCAAAGCAAGGTTACACCTGTGAGTTGGATGTAGAAGTGTCAGAATCAATATAGATGTTTTTATTTTAAAGTAAATTCAGATTGAACACACACAGTAAAAAAAATGTAAATTATTGTGTCCGTCCAAAAAAAAAAAATTACTTGTAGTGAAAACCACCCTTGAATGATGGGATGGTAGACTAAAAGCTTTAGGAATCCAAACTACAACATATAATAAGTACCCTGTATCAAGATTGATGCAAAACAAGTGAAATGTGACATTTTTAGAGATATTTAGCAACAAAAAAAAACACTTCTGCGGTCATTTGGGTGGATTTGACCTATCTCTGGCCCCCCTTGGTCGATTTTGCTGATTGACATCTCTTTCTAACCGTGAGAGCCAATGGAATCGAAGGGAACTCCCACATACTCCTTATTTGGTAATGTGTGTGTGTGTGTGTGTGTGTGTGTGTTGTGTGTGTGTGTGTGTGTGTGTGTGTGTGTGTGTGTGTGTGTGGTGTGTGTGTGTGTGTGGTGTGTGTGTGTGTGTGTGTGTGTGTGTGTGTGTGTGTGTGTGTGAGTCTGCCGCATAGCCAAGACCGGAAGCTGCGATAACTCTGGTGGCTACCATTAGCAGCTGACTTTTACTCTCCGATTTTTACATAAAAATGGAATTATGGATTATAAATAAAAATAATTATTACCCAGAAACATTATCAACCTATGGATTAACCGATTCAGCCACGTTTTTCTCGTTTAATGCCATTGAACCAGTCTTTTGATCAGATTTACAGCTACGGTGAGACGATCTCCCGTAAAAGCTCCGTAAAGGTACGTGTTGTGATGTCTGTGTTTGCTTCCCCTGTCAAGAGTTCGGATCACTCAGTGATGATATATATACCTAAATAATCTGTGGAACCTCAGCTTTAATCGGATATCTTGTATGTGCAGCTACGATAAGTAATAAGGGTATCTTTTATCTTGAGTTCTGTGCCAAAGTGCGTTAGCATTTTTCGCTCAGGGGTCATTTAGATGCTTCTTTTGAGACTTGTGTTTTGTTTTGGTAAAAATGGTTTGTATCGTCAGTTAGCTGAGATTATTCCCGTTAATCTGGTATAACACATTAATAGGTTCTTAAATATTAAGATCCCCTGAGACACAGTGTCCCCGGTAGGGACCTTGGGGCTTAGGAGCATCTTGAACAGTGTTACTAAAGAACAGTTAATGTCACAATAAAGGTCTGAAGCGCTGCAAGATTATTAACAGGAGAGAAAAACACCACAAGACATATATTTCTGCCTAACTAAATTAGGTTTATGGTGAACCATTTGCTTTCTAAGTTTTGTTACAGCTTTTGAAATATTTTCAGACTGTCACAAGTAAAATTATAGTTGATAGTCAAACGCACCATAAAAAGCTTATTATTGGACATTGAGTTTGGAGTATTTGATCTGCGATTCAGGTCAAAGAATGTGCCTCCAAGCCCAATATGATGTGTAGTGTGTCAGTTTTTTTGCAATATTTCTCTTTGCTTGTAAATTACGGGATGCTTAAGGCCCCTAACAGTATTCAATCAAAAATAACACGAACCTCTGTTGAGCAGCGTACTTCAAACAATACATGCAAAAGTGGGGCAATGTGTATACAAGTCATTTGACAAAACCATAGGACAAAACCTAATTTATTGTCTTGCAGGCAGTTCTGCCTAGGAGGGCCGACCCCACTGAGTTGAAAGCCATTTTTGAAAAGGTACGTTTTACCTATATACTTTGTGTTTGCTCTTTTGTGCTTGCCTCTTTAGCTTTATATTTGAAATCAGATTCTAAAGCTCAGCATGCGGCCTTGTTTCTGCATCTGGTTTTTCACTTTACAGTATGCCAACGTCAAGAAGAATGAGGAGAGCTTCATGTCACCACAGGACTTTGTGAGCCGCTTTCTCCATGCCCACACAGACATCCGGCTGTCGGACGAGGCCGCGAAGCTGCTGGCTGGAGTCGTGGATCAAAAGAAAGATGGGTTAGGATTCTCAATTTATCTGCTATTATTAGCTGAAGTGAATATGGATTATCGGCTATTATGAATAAAAAGATGTATGACGCAAAATGTGACCGATAGAGGGTAAATACAGCCATATATTTGTTTATAAATCAGTAAAAAATAGGGGATCATAAGCAGTGTCTTATGAGGATTATACTGTTTGAATACATCTCTGGCAGAAGAGGCCGATCTGACTGAAATTGCTATGCTGAGTTTCTGTTTAAGCCACAAATTCATCTCCTCTCACTAAGCCAACTCCTAACTAGTAAGCCTATCAAAGCTATCAGTACACATTATTTATCCCTTTGATCTCGTGTGACTACCTCTCTAGTGTTATTTTGCATTTAATAAACAAACCTATGCCTGAATCCTTTGGTGTAAAAAATTCACAGAGGGATGTTCATACTTGAATTATCAGAGACATCAAACCACCAAAGGCCCCTTTCAGGTGTTTCCTTCTTTGTAGATACACCCCCAATTTCACACTTACTCCTCCCCCCATCCCCATCACCCCTGTTTTTTCACATTAATATGTATGTATTTAATGATACATAATGATGGGTAATAAAATGTTAAGTCAAAAAAGATTTTTTTTTTACATTGCCATGGTAACCACCTGGGCTTCTACAAAGAGCAAAGTGCACATGGCTGCGTAGCTTCATGTTATTACATCTGCTTTAAGGTGTGTGTGTGTGTGTGTGTTTGTGTGTGTGTGGTGTGTGTGTGTGTGTGTGTGGTGTGTGTGTGTGTGTGTGGTGTGTGTGTGTGTGTGTAGTGTGTTTGTGTGTGTGTGTTGTGTGTGTGTGTGTGATGTGTGTGTGTGTGTGATGTGTGTGTGTGTGTGTGTGTGTGGTGTGTGTGTGTGTGTTAGTGTGTGGTGTGGTGTGTGTGTGTGTGTGTGGGTGTGTGTGTGTGTGTGTGTGGTGTGTGGTGATGTGATGTGTGTGTGTGTGTGTGTGTGTGTGTGTGTGGTGTGTTGTGTGTGTGTGTGTGTGTAGGACGCTGAGAATGGAGTAGTGTGGGGGTTTTGGAATTTGGAAAAAAAGGAGCAATGTGTCACAACACCACCAAGATAAAAAAAACACACACGTGCACTGATATTGCCCATGCTATTCCAGGAGCACTCTGTTGCATTGTGTGGGCTTTGGAGCAGGATAAATGGTGGCCCGTGGCATCAGGGTAAATCTATTAGGAACCCATGGCGCTCCAGGCTTTGATCTAAACCTCCTTTTGGTTTTGTGGAGGGGAATGGAAATGATATATGGGGGCCAAAACAGGAAAAAAGTCCTGGTTAGACCCCAGGTTTAGATGTGATTTGTTTTTTTTACAGTTGACATTGGAAAGGCTTCATGATGCTCATTCTCTGTGATGTGTTATTTTTCTACTAAACTTTGATAGATGAATGATTCGGTGAGACAAAGAGTCTCGATGATTATTCGGCAAACCTGTGTCTCGTGAATACAAACCAAATGGATATAAAAAGTAGATATGATGCACTGTCAGTGGTAGCTGAAAACACAAATGCATTGTTTTTCAAGCGCTCATTCGGACAAACCTTATGAATAGAACGGAGCACAAGACAAAACAAACCACTTTAGTGACTGTATTTTCATCCTGCTCGCCCTATCTCATGCAAATATGTTTTTGAACAATACGTTTGGTACATGAGGGGTAGTGTATTTGAAGCCAGTGCGCCTGCTGCTGTTTTTGCCAGATAGGACTCCATTTCAACAAGATGAGTCTCGGGTAATAGATTTAGCAGGGGGTCGGATAGCAGGCAGCGCGCTCGTTTTACTTTTCTGTTGGAGTTTATCTGTGTGAGAGATATTTTACTTAGATGCCATTGTGTGTATGTTATTGGTTTGGTGTGTATGTGTGGTGATATAAACAGAGAAAATGCATTTGTCTGCCTCCCTGCCACTGTGTAAATCAGGGGATATAGTGACAGTCGTAACAATCTGTTACGTGGAAAATCACTTTCTCCCTCTTATTCTCACCGCTGGCAGTGAGACAGAGACAGATGGATATAAAAGAGAGAGACTGTGGAGATGTGTACATTTCCAGGAATCAAATGGTTATGTGTGTATGCACTGACACACAGAGCCACAAGATGGTTAGCAGATTTCTCCTTTTACTATTTATGTCCTCTTTTCTTATTTTGCTTTTAACTTCATATGCATTCCTTCGCTACCATCCCTGTCTCTTTATACACTCGCACATACCGTAATGCACTCTGAGCTTTATCCATTTCATTTCCTTCAGACTCCCTACCTTTCTGTTTCTCTATTCCATCTTCCCTCTGATATTTTGATACAAACCTCTGTTCAGGTGTGAAAAACCCCACTCCCCCTCATAGACTCTTGGAGGTTTTAAAAGGGAAAAAAAAAGTTGTTAAGGTTGCATGCTGGGAAAATAGCAGTCTGCCAGCTGCTGTGGGTATTCTAGACTTGTTCTGGTAGGTGTCCACTCTTAGAAACCGAACAGATACTGGCAGCTTGCACTCATCTGGGTGTGTTTTTGGGACGTGTGTGTCTGTGTGCAAGCTCGCTCCAGGTGGGTGGAAGGCTGTCAGTAACAATGCCAGGATGTCAGGGACAGGGGATTATTGAAGCCCCTCTAGGCTCCTCTCTCCCACTACTATCAATGGAGGAGAGCTGTCTTTCTATCAGCCGGGCCTAACCAACACCATGCATTTATGTTACTTGTAAACAACGTTTCGGCGCCTGGTTTTTCGGTTCAGAGGAGTGTATTTAGATGCCTACTGAGAGGAGACAGAGATAAAAGCCATTTGGCTAAGATAAAAACAAACAAGAATATATGGAAAATGGGGTGGAATTGTTATGCCGGACCAACTTAGCGAAGACAGTTTAAATTGGATTGTTTTGGCATCCTAAGGAAAACATCATTGAGCTGTCATCTGTAAAGACACATGCTAGAATCAAGTCTTTGTTTATGTCTTGTGTGTTACGTCTCCCATCTGATACGTGTCACGAATATGTCTGTTTGGAGACTCAACAAAATCCTGCAGAGTAAAGTGAGTACACAGTACGCTGAAGAGATGCCATGCTACAGTATCACATTTTTCCTGACTCCGAAGTTCATCCCGGGCAGCCCTGGACACATGCCATAGCAGTTGATGGTTGGGAGATGCTGTCAGAGGATTTGATTGTTGAGCGTCTCATTGGGGTTGGGTCGGCATAGCAGAAACCGATGGCTTCCCCCTCTCATTGTAATCATTTTGCAGCCGTCATGGCGCTGCTAATCAACCATCATAAGCTTCATCCCCGGCTACAGAGCTGTGTGTAAATGCTTAAGAGTACGTGGAATGTTTCTCGTGTGTGTTATGGAGATGCCCCCTGGATCTTGTCTGCGCTCCCTGGTCTAAACCATGGTCCAATCCCTCCATGATCAGCAGCCCTCTCAGTTACAATAATATACTGATTATCCGCGTCTGGGAAAACACAGACGGGACAACCAGCGTGCATGTAAAACGATGCGTGTGAAAAAGAAACATTTTACTTTTTCCCTCCGCTCCGCCTGGGAACATTTGTGATTTCTGAGTCTTTGCACTACATTTCTTAATTAGCCTCTCTGAGGTATAATTCCAGAGTGTACTATACCTCTGTCACAAAAGAAGGATCATTACTGTACAGTTTGATAATATTCCAGCAGTGTGAGCAAAAATTGTATTAGCTTTGTTTTTAGCAGTAGATCCACAGCAGTGTGCTTTTGTGCCCCCTCCCACCTACCTGCCATCAGCAGGGCCCCGCTCTTAAGAACTAACTGCTTAGGTAACAATTAGCTTTCCTTTGCAACAATGACGGCTGATTAATTTGCCACTGAATCAATCAACCAATGTTTATTTATATAGCCCAATATCACAAATGTTACATTTGTCTCAGTGGACTTCACAGTTTGTACAGAATATCAGTATGACAATACGACACCCTCTGTTCTTAGACCCTCACATCGTACAAGGCAAAACTTCCAAAAAATGGAAAACCCCACAGTTTAAAGGGGAAAATGGGAGAAACCTCAGGGAGAGCAACAGAGGAGGGATCCCTCTCCCAGGACGGACAGACGTGCAATAGATGCCGTGTGTAAATTGAAGAGATAATACATTTTACAGCATAGGTAGAATGAATTGGACTGTATGCTCTATTTATTCACTCTATTTATTCACTCTTTCTCCCACATACACATATATTTACTTTTTTACTCAAACCAAGTGCGGGTCTGAATATTTTGGGACTGTTTTCGGCCTCTTCTTATTTTTTTTAAATTGGCATTTTTGCAGACTAAAAAAGACAGTAATCTAAACATGGAATAGGCAGTTACTAATTTGATATTTCTTACTGGTAATATGTTTTTCTAAATAACATTTTGTCAGTGCAAATTGGTTCTGTTTCTCAGCCTGTTTTTTATATATATAATGTTTTTTCAAGTACATATAAGGATGCACATAAGCACCCACGTCAAATAGTCCAAACAAATGCATCTCAATTTCATCAGCACAATAATTAATTAAAAATGTAATCATTGCACCCCTATACTCCCCCCTTGGAAATTGAAAAAGGTTTAATAGATGGATGCTCGGGGACTGCATCAACACTGACCCAGTCTGTAATTATCGGAGCCATTTGTGAAATTCATAATGGACTTTTGGCAACAGTGAACCAGGGCCTGAATAAAGGCTAGACTGCGTGGTCCAGTTCTCCACAGCAGAGCTCTCAGTGGGTTCTCACAATGGAGTTGTTTGTTTATTTCCTGTTATTGATGCGTGTGGGCATTAGTTTACTATAGAGTGACAGGAGATAGAATAGTAGTTAACAAAACGCTGACAACTGACTGACTAACTCGGTAAAAGAGGCAGCAGTATAATTACAACACGTATCTGGTGTGTTTACATTTAATTTAAAGCTTTTATTTCTGTGTTAATGCAGACAAAAGTTTCCCCATTTCACTTTTTTTCTTCCAGCTTTGCTTTTCTAGACTTTTACTCTAAACCGCGTTCTTTGTAATACGTTTATATTGAGATGGATTATATCTCCTTAATTTACTCCCAGCTTCCTCCTCTCCTGTCTACTTGTTTAAAATGACACAGTAAAATATAAAACTTCAAATTTCATTTTCTTTTCTTCTGCTGTTGTAAAGTTAGCTTTCTCTATACCAGCTGCCAGCTCCGACTGGGAACACACACTGAGCTTTTGCATTTTCATTATTTTCTTGCCATCACGCTCAATGAGTTTATGACATTACACGTGGAATAACAGACTCCTGGATAAAAGGCCTCTTGGATTGTGCGTAACACGGATTGATGGGTTGTCTCCGTGTGCTGGTTTGCCACTGTGTGGCAGTAATTACAATGGAGTTTAATGCAAGTGTGCATGTGTTAAAATATCCAGATTTGTATTTAATATATCATTTTATTAGTACAACTTGGCTTAAGTCTTTATTATGTATTATATGACTAAATGAATATCAAAGAGTGTGTTTCCCAGGTGTAGCTGTAGATTAAGTATTTACAGAGAAGTTGAAACTTGAATAGCACTCATTAATAAATCAACTCAAATGGCAGCATTCACCAGTGTTTCACAGCTCTACATATCCTCTTTCTTCTACCCTTCTCTCAGGCTGATCTCCTTTCAAGAGTTCGTAGCATTCGAGTCGGTGCTGTGCGCTCCAGACTCGCTCTACATGGTCGCCTTCCTGCTGTTTGACAAGGCAGGCAGTGGAATGACCAGTTTTGGTAAGTAACTCTGATTTACGGGGTTAGATAGAATGATACTCAAGTTCGCAGGTGGAGCATCTTACTGAACCGTTAGCATCTATATGGTAGGTGCTGCTACGTGCTTTTCAAGAGACCTGGAATTATGTACTGAGACTTTAAAGGGGACCTATCATGCAAAATTCACTTTTTTATGTCTTTTATACATAAAGATGTGTCCCCGGTGTGTCAGGGAACTCACACAGCGTCAGAAAATAAAACCCTCTCTCTTTTACTCCGTACCCAAATCTCTACGTCCGATATGACGTAATATCGGAAATGTAGGCTGGCTTAACACCCACGGCCCTATCAGAAACAATGCCCGACTGTTTTGGACGTAATATGGTCGGTGCATGTTTACATTAGCATCGCTAACACTCAGAGCTAACCTGTACTGGAGAGAGCATGTGTGTGAAGAAGCAGGAAATAAAAAGGAGAAGGCAAAGAGAGAAAGCCTTTGAGCTCCATACTGTTTCAGAAATAATCCTTGATAATCCATGATATGGCGTTTCATCACGGCAGTATCTGCCGGTAGAATCTCCCGCATGAGCTCAGCCCCCTGCTTTTTTTTTAACCTGTTAAACCCCATCCGCCCGCCGGCGGGGGGAAAAACGCATCATCTGCAGGAAACAGCATCTGAGGGCTTCTTAATATTTAATAAACTATGAATGTTTCATATCCATGAAACGGGAAGAAACTCAGCTAACTGATGATATGAACAATTTTTTGCAAAAAAATCACAGAACTCACGGTATAAAACCCTTATTACTTATTGTAAATGCAAATCCAACCCAGCGATCAGCATCGTGAGATTACACAGATCCGATAGATATCTGTATCATCACTCCATGATCAGAACTCGCGAAATGAGAAACAAAAACAGACATCACAACACGTGGCATTAGGTAGCAAACACGGCAATAGGTCTTACCTTTGTTGTTGTCTGATCAAAAGTTGTCTTCAATGGCATTAAAACGATAAAAACGCTGCTGAAGGTTAATCCATAGGTTAATCCAATGTGTCTGTCACTTTGAAATGATTTCTGATAATCCATCAGCAATAAACCTAGTTTTAAGTTTTCAGATTTCAGAGCGTAAGATTTCGCTTTGGGAAAACTGCGTGCACATAGCCCCCACTATTCAATGGTAACGTTGGTGTGTATGTGGAAATTCCCCTTCGATTCTATTGGCTCTAACGGTTCAAAAGAGATGTCAATCATTTGAGTTTTTTTTCTAAATCTCTCTAAAAAGGTCAAATGTCACTTGTTTTGCATCAATCTTGATACAGGGTACTTATTATATGTTGTACTTTGGATTCTTAAAGCTTTTAGTCTACCATCCCATCACTCAAGGGTGGTTTTCACTAAGTACAAAAGAATCTTTGGACGGACACTATAATTAAAACATTTTTACTATGTTCAATCTGAATTTTCTTTAAAATAAAAAACATCTTGATTCTGACTGTTCCACATCCAACTCACAGGTTTATCATTACTTTGAGAAAAAAGATTATTAATTTCCCCCTTCTTAGAAATGTAGTTATGGTCATTTGTTCTGGAAATGTCATTTTCGAGCCTGAGACCTGAAAAACAGGCTTGGGGCTTAACAGGTTAATCAATTTTTTTAATTTTTTGTATTGCTTTATACCCAAAATCAGCACTTTTGAAACAGGAAGTGAAATAGAGGGATATGAGGCATTGCTAGAATGGGTGATCTGTTTAGTATTTTGAGCAAAACACTTCATAGACATGTTTTTTTATATATTTTTATATATCTGAGACCTATGCTATTGCCTAAAAATAGCATGATAGGTGCACTTTAAGTACAAATCACATACACTTTCACATTTTCAAATATTGGTGTTATGCTCTTTATTGAGTCTTGACCTCCACTCTACAAGTTAAATGTTCCTACTATCCTGTATATACTGTAAGCCTCTTTTTGAATAATAGGGGCACACAATTAGCGAGGATAATGCATATTCTTACTTTGCGAAAAAGAGGTTTGTGTAGATTAACAACTTTGTTATGATGTAACTTAAAATAAAAGTATGAGCATTGCTTTTGTTTCTCTGTATTTGACATTTAATAAATGCTTCAGACCATCCTGACCATGCACTGAGCATGTGTCTCTTGTGCAATGCAACACTGAAGAAGTTTCCACGCAAACTATTTGTTTATTTGTCAAGGGTCTGACCCCTGCTCCTCTATTCTGTCATCTAAAAACCAAAATACTGTTAGTGGTCCTCTATCTTTTCTGTAAAGAATGTAAGGTTAGGTTTGGAGGTGGAGAGGGTGTTGGCAAAGTTAAAGATGGAGGAGGGGGTGCGTAGATCATTGTGTGGTGTGTGTGTGTGTGTGGTGTGTGTGTGTGTGTGTGTGTGTGTGGTGTGTGGGTGTGGTGTGTGTGTGTGTGTGTGTGTGTGTGGTGTGTGTGTGTGTGTGTGTGTGTGTCTGTGTGTGTGTGTGTGTGGTGTGTGTGTGTGTAGTGTGTGTGTGTGTGTGTGTGTGTGTGTGTGTGTGTGTGTGTGTGTGTGTGTGTGGTGGTGTGTGTGTGGTGTGTGTGTGTGTGTGGTGTGTGTTGTGTGTGTGTGTGTGTGTGTGTGTGTGTGTGTGTGTGTGTGTTGTGTGTGTGTGTGTGTGGGTGTGTGTGTGTGTGTGTGCTTGGCCCCCATTACTCTGCTGCCTGGAAGCTTGGAGGTGAAAGGGAAGACACTTTGTACTCGTTGCTTATTTCACATTTGCCTAATTGATTTAAACAAGTCTAATGCCAGCCTTCTGTAGATGTGCGAGGCGTTAGCACATTAGGCTTGATTTGAAATGCAGCGCACACATCCCGCTCGTAAACAGGGAAGAGTAAGTGAATTTCATTTTAATTGTTGCTGTCGACAGGGTGCAAGATCATCGCGGGTGATTATATATGCACATATGTAAATTTTCATATTTAAAAGGATCAATTAGAGTGACGTTGTCTTGGTGGCAATTAAAAGGTCTGCTGTTTTTCTGCGTCTCTCAAAGGTTAATGAATATCCCAATGCCTGAGAGTTATGAGACTCGCATACAAGTGGAAAATTGCATGAAAAACATACCACACATCATGTCATCCACAAACACTGACTGCAGTGTCTGCCATTTGCATCGGCTACCATTTCACCAAAAGCAAACAACTTGTGACTGAGATTATAGACTTGTCAAAGTTGCTTTATTGTGATACATTACAGAATTCCCCTTTTTATCCTCTGCTCCCTTTTCCTCTCTTCAGATTCAAGTCACCAAGGCACAACATAAAGAACTCCCTTCTTTATTACCTTCTAAAAAACATTAATAGCTAAAGCTTACGTCACATTAAAGACACGTTTGTTTTCAACGCAATAAATGTCTGAACTTTGATTTCTTTTTTATTTAATATTTCTATAAATCCATTTTATTTGATAATAACCTGAGTTATTTCTGCTGAGCACACACGGGGCTCTGAGTTCTTAGCACCTAAACTAAATGTGTAATTTGATGGAATTTCGAGTTAATAAAAATTGCAATGTAACATGGCATGTGAAACGCAGTTGTGCGTCAGCCAGAAAGTCAAAAACTAAAGAGGACTGAGTGTTGACAGGTCTATAAAATCTGATAATATAAACGGCGGGCACTGAAGCGGCCTCTCTTTTAAAGAGTTAAAGGCTGTATATTTATTGCCTCATTAAAGTGTAAAAAAACTGTCTTCCTTCAGAAGGTAAGGCTGAGCTGAAGTAAATATCACCTTTCTCTTTCTCTCTTTTCCCCTCTCCGTGTCTTTATAAAACAAATTGTTTCTTTCCACCTTTTCCTTTCTGCACTCGTTCTGCGCGGCTTGTTTGGTAATAAGAAACAGGTCGCTCTATTGGTTTGTTTTTGTTTCTTTAGTAAGGCTGTAATTTAGGACTCATGTTCAGTGTCTCTCCACTCCGCTGGCTGCAGAGGCTTAGAGGGTTCAGGCAGAGGAACATAAGTGAGAAGAAAAGGCTTTCCTCTGAATACACAGCCTTTACTTCTGCCATGTGGCATTCAACACTGATTTAGAGTTGAGGGACTTAAGTCTCAATCAGAGCAGAATTGTGTTCTGGAGATTGACGTTGACATTTTGCCACAAACAGTCACGGAATTTTTTTCTTTCCTAAATCAAATAATTAGTAATGTTAACCGCAAGATAGGAAACACATGCTGTTTGTTAAGATCTGACTCACAAGGCTTTGTACACACATATTTATGTCTTTATTAGAGCTAACTAAAAGAGAAAGTAGTATTTTTGATAATTGTTCGTTACAAAAACATAAAGAGAGGAGAATATTTAGGGGATTTTAATGAAGGTGAAAACCTTATACATGGTTAATGTATAGTCATTAGCCTTACAAATGAGGTGTAATCTGTAAAACCTAAACAGAAGTGTCTTTTATTGTAAATAATTTGTACTATTTGGAGGAAAAGTATAGTTGATTTGTTGCCTCATTGCTTGTATATTTTTGGTTAAATTGTCTATACCAGGGGTAGCCAACACGGTGCCCGCGGGCACTCAGTCGCCCGCAGGGGCAACATGAGGCGCCCGCCGGGCACGTTCTAAAAATAGCTCGCCAAGCAAATCCAAAATGTATAAAATACACAAAACAAAAAAGGAAATGTAATTAAAAGAATCTCCCCCATGCATAAACGAAACCTAAATCATAGCGAACTCTATCTACTTACTACAACTCTATATCTATCTAACACCCCTCCTCCCCCAACCCCCACAATGAATATCGACCAATCATGTTCTTGCTTGATTTGCGGGACCAGCGTTGCAGTCGGGAAGAAAAGCAATGTGGCACCTCCCCGCTGATTTTCCTTCTGGCAGAATCTACACATCAGCCCCATTGAATAGCCCATCATGCCAGCCAACACATGAGGGCCAGAGTTTTACTCTGTGTGTTGCAACTTGCATATATATTTATTCCACTTGACGCACACACACGCATGGCGTAATCTCCAGGGGGGACATGTCCCCCGCTCTTTTCGAAATCCCGTTTGTGTCCCCCCACTTTACAAATATGTTTATTATTATTTTTTAACGCAAGCCGTCATCGCCACGGAGGAGCACACAACCTGTGTGTGTGTGAGTGCACCCCTTTATCTATTTAATATAGATAAAGTAAGAAATCATTCCAATGTGTACAATAGGACAGTACAAAAACAGTTTAAAAGGGGAGTGATTAGTAAAATATGCATAAATAAAAAGAAAGAATGCTAACTAGGTAACACAAGATAAGAATAAACAAGTTTAAATGATTTATTATTGGTTGTGATGATATTCCAAAGATGTTTGTTTCTTGAAAAGTATTCAGCTCCCTTTCATCTGAGTGTTGAGAGCTGTATCCATAAATTCATGTTGTGCTCAAAGTGCACCAGATTGATGCATTTCACTTCAACACTCAAAGAATCTTCCCGGGGGTGCATGCCCCCAGAGCCCCCTAGAGGAGGTGAGGTCCCCCCTGGAGGATGTGAGGCCGCCCCTAGAGGAGGTGAGGCCCACCCCCAAATAAAGCAGGTTAAAATAATTAAATTGAATACATGTTCTTTTAGTAAACACTGAAAACGGGTCCCAAAGACCCAGACAGCACACAAAGGTTAAAGGTAAGCATATAATAATGTTAAAATGTGCTAAATATATACACTGCAAAAAACAAAAAAAAGAGGAGTAAAAGTAGCCCCCGACTTGTTTTATTGTTTGAAAGTAGCCCTCATCCTAAAAAAGGTTGGTGACCCCTGGTCTATACGTTACATACATAAACACAGTTAATCAGTGGTAGCTTTTAACTACATAAAAGATTCAAGTACTGTAATTGTTTTAACTACAATTTTGAAGTACTACTTGAGTGCATGTTATGTAACTTATATAAGAGCTGCAGCGTTAAGACATTAACATAATTGCCAACTATTTTTTTACTAACGATTTTTGATTGACAGAACAAAACACTTAAAGTCCCCTGATGTAAATGGACAGTTTTCAGATATGGAAATAGGGCTGTCAAATGCTACTTTTCATCAGTGGATTGTTATTAAAGCAGCATATTTTCTCTTTTTGTCTGTCTCAGAGGATGTGAAGGAGGTCTTCAGCCAGACCACCATCCACCAGCACATCCCCTTTAACTGGGACTGTGATTTCATCCGGATGCACTTTGGCAGCGAGAGGGCGAAGCGGCTCAGCTATGGAGAGTTCACCCAGTTTCTCCTGGTAGGTTTCATGTTGATCACCTGCTCTCCTCAATGCTCACATGACCTTCTTTTACCCACCCTGATGACATGAAATCCCATTCTTTGCTTTTCCTCTTCCTGTGTCTTCTGTCTGTTTAGTTATGCTCACTGCCTTGTGACCAATAAATAATAGTCAACAAATCTCATGACAAGCCCTTGAATTGAATTGAAAATGTATAAATAGATATAGTGTACATAGATATTGGTCCTTGAAACTGGTAGAAGAATGGTTCTCATATTTAAAGGTCTTAGGTGTTATAACGATAATTCAACTTGATCTGTCCCTCAAACGATGCCATTTTGGGTCGTTACATTTGAGGGAATTGGAGCCTTTTAAAAAATCCTTGAATTTGATGTTCAAAAAGATATTAGAAACCTGAAATCAGTTTCAACCAATGAACGTGACTGTAAACATGGCCTTATCCCCATATATTGTTTTTACAATCATGTCATCTAACTTTAATGTTGGATATGTGTCTAACCTTGGCCAGACACCCCAGTTTTTCCCAACTCCTCTCAAACACAGTACTCCATATTGAGCAGATTAGTCATTAATGAAACACTGAGGTTATATATTTGGGACATTTTTGGCATTTGTTTTTCATTAACTGACGTACACCTAGCATTACTTCTACTCTTAAGCAGGTAGAGACGCAGTTCTACCTCCATAAATAGTAAAGCTTGAATATTCCTAGTGTATTTGTGGTGTGTGAGCCATTTTCCAATAAGATGTCTAGACTTAAATCAGGCCTAAGCAGAGAGAGGTGCTGGTGGGGGGGGGGAAAGAGCGCCTGAGCAGTGCCAAGTTTGCATCCACACTCACCATGTATCTGAATGAGCTTTTTATATTACACTTAACTTAGACCAGATGGCTTACACACAGTGGGCAGCAGCACAAGGATATTGGGACATTGTTATGTGTTTGCGTATTTGTGCATGCATGTGTGTCTTTACATACGTGTGGTTCTGCATGTTTACCTTACTTATCTCCTTACCATAGTGTGAGCACGCATGCTTTGTGCATCTGTGTTTATGTCGATGTTTGTGAGGTTTTCTGTGTGTGTGTGTTTGTGTGTGCGTGCATACAAGTCTGTGGTGCTGTGGCCAGTAGACGCTGTACTTTGCATTGACAGCGTGCCCAGTCCCCCCCCACTCCTCCCCCAGTCAGTCACTCAGTGGTTTACAGCTCCTCACAGCAGCAAGCCTGCAGCCAGTTGCACTCATTGCTCAATATGAAATTCACATTTTCTGCTCTCTGTATTTGATAATATCTCACAGCTTTTGATTTATACCTTAATGAATCAAGAAGTCGATATTCAATTGAAATGTCAAGCTATTTCATATTCAACACTGCATTTATTTCAAGTACATATCGTACTGCTTTTCATTTTTTACTTGCTTCAAAAAAAATATAATATGGTATATATTTTATTTTGATGCATTCATGTTTTTTTTTACAGTAATATCATTGTGATAACTGACTGCAATTACAGTATTCTGCACAGGTGAAATGCAGGTATTGGCTGACTCAGTGTTATCAGTGACTCCAGTGATTGATGACAGGGCAATTAGGAAAATTGATTCTGGTTCAACATTTCCTGAACCAGAATTTAAATCTGTGCAATTACAACATACTTTGTGATTGCACTAATACCTGCCGCTGTTATGATACTTTTGTAAAAGCATTTGTAAATGTCAGCTGGGAAGAAGAATCCTGTGTAGCTATAAAAGTTGTAGAGTTGTGAAAACCAACACACCATATTCTGAATATTTGACAGGGTTTTCTTTCACGCAGCTTTCCCCCCATAAGAATGTTCCCATCCTTTATTTCCTCCTCATCCTGCCATACATGCATGTGTTTATTGTGTTTTTCTGCCATTGTAACCACGCCACTGCCAGATGCTCACAAAATGGGATTATCGGGGAAAACGTTTGCGCCGCATATTTCTCACAAGGGCTCTCTCTAGCCAATTACTGTCTTGATGGAAGCCAGAGATTCTCACCAATTACATGCATTTTTCCCATCTCACGCGTGGACGCCGGCCAAGGCTTAGCTCGCACTGTCAGCGTGGTGTTGTCTCTGGCAATGATATTACCGTTGTCCAGAGAAGTGGCACATAGTAGCCCATATTATAAATCCTGGCAAGTAAAGGGCATGATTTACACGGAGGGGACTCCACATGTCCCACTTCTTTCCTAAGCACTAAAAAAAAAAAAAAGGGAATTGTTGGCATTGCTCACATTTTAAAAGTCCCAATTATATGTTTGACTCTCGCAAGAATCAGTGGCAGCCCTTAACATCACTAGAGGACTCACTGGCACATGTAAATGGGCAGTTGTGCTTCTCCTTGTATAGTTTGAGCCCTGTGCTGATGACAAGTACATATTAGAAAAGAGATATATATACAACCCTGCTCCACTCATATCTATTTTTTTAAGTTTTGATGGGAGACGGAAAGTATCGCAGCCATTGAAAACAAACGGAGATGGCCTGTCATGTGTTTTTATTCTCATCCAAGGACAATTAAAGTGACTGCAAATGCCTCAGCGGTCTCTGGTAGGCTGTCCTAAGCCCAGAGCTTTATGTCTCCTGCCTCTCAAATAAAAACCATGTCCCTGAAACTCTCAAGCTAAGGTTTTAAGAGGCTGAAACTATAAACCGCTCCTTCCCTGGACCACAGTTGTTTTGTTGCTCTGTGTGGTTGGTGTGTGGCTTTTCAGACTTTTGACTTGTCCAGAGAAACAAGATTTCATTTTTTTCCCCTCTCATTTACAGATGGAAACAAAGATAAATGCTTACCCTTATTTTTGCATGCAAGCAGAACATTTTCATTTTATTTTTTTGTTTTGCTTTTAATTCCAATATTCAGATCTCCTCTTCCAATCCTCCTCCCAGTTTATTCCAAAGCAAAGTGTTTTGACCTACTCGCAACCGACCGGAGAAGTGAGTCACGACTCTCAGGATGCTGACACCAAAACATCTCACCTTATTTATCTCGAGAGTGTTTACATGTGTCAATCTCTCTTCGTTTCCTCGCCTTCCACTTACTTATACACTCTGCTGAGCCCCTGCTGTGCTCATAGGTGATACTGACACATGGCTGCTACATTTGCTGTTTTGCAAATCTTGGCTCTTTTGTTGCGATGTCTATTCTTACTCCCCTCCGGTCTCCACTCAGCTTTGTGTAAATGTCACTCTTCCCCAGTCGTTTCTTTTGGGTGCCGCAAATGTAGAGTTCGATCAGTTATGCTGTCAGTGAAATATCACTGAAATTCAACACAACAATAAGTCATAGCCTCATAGGGTTTTTTGTTGTGGAAATACCACTTTTTATAGTTCCTTTTATAACAAAAACATTTGAACCAATCAATTGAATAATGCCATGAATGTTCAAGATGTAATCCTCCTTTCAGCACTTTCGTCCGACGTGTGTGGCTCTCCATTATTCTAGGACAAATGTATAATAATAGTTTATTCTGAACTGAATTATTAAGTTACTTAATGTACTGCCGGTACTTACTTTGAGAAATGTCATTTATATTTTTATTTGAAAGTTTCTGCATTTACTCAAATGTTGACATAATTCATTCTTGTTATATATATTCCTATTAGATGTATATATTTTTTTGTTTTAAGACATTTTGGACAAGTGTGTTTTATAAAATCAGTCAATATAACGTAATACTTCAGTGGAAATTAGACTTTTTAAATAGAGAGATATTCATAGTTTTTCACAATTATTCAATACATAATTTGGTCTATAAAATACCAGAAAAAAAGAGAAATTTCAATTTCTAATTTTGTTGACATTCAAATGGCTTGCTTTATCCATACATCAGTCACTACTACAGAACAAAAAGAAAAGCCACAAACCCTCATCTTTGAGAAGCTAAAAACAGTGGATCTATTCATTTCTGTTAATTTTCCGTCAATTAAATAATTTACCATATTCATTTCAGCTCTACATATATGTGGGGAATTAAGGGAAGCTCTTGCATGAATGTTTCTGTTGACTGAACACAATACGTCTTTAAAATAAATTAAGCTTAAATCTGACATTTAATTGGTCAAAGAAAACTCATAAATAACAATTGAAGAAAAATAACTTTGGACATTTCTGCCTCATTGATTTTTGGAGTAAAGCTTATGACACGTAGGAAGTGAGTCAACAGCCAAAGCGACTAGTTTTAGCTCGCTGCTCCTAAGCTTACGGCTTGAGCTTTTTCCAATGACTCGTTGTAGATTATTATTGTTCTGATATCCCAGTCTTCAGCTGTAACCAAGTTATTTGTTGTGAGATGGAGGAAGCATTGGTGGTTTGTTTGCAGCCTCTCTCTGTAGACTTGTGGTTGCAGGTACTGATAATGGCTGCTAATTTCAAAGGCCTTATGGGATGTGTCCCCACCGCAGCCTGCTGTTGTCCCCATGGACCTTTGTGTGTGTTTGCAAGAAGACAGACAAAGTGAGCAGTTGGGTGATTAGCTGTCTTACCTGTGTGTGCACGTCTGTGTGAGTGTGTATGTTTGTACGTTTTCCCTCAAGTGGGTTTAATGGGGATTTGGGGAGGGTGTGAAAAGCCCAAGCGACACCTCACAGTAGGCGAGCCGCTGTGGGGAGAGGAGGCGAGCGTGAAGCCCGGCCAAACACTGGTTCCCCCGTAACTGAGAGGGGGAGACGGCACCAGGGGGCCCATCATAGCAAAACGCTGTGTTTTTACACAAACGTGTTTATATGAGTGAGTTTATGTGGATTTTTAATTTATGAAGGCATCTTTAAGAGGTGTATGACCCACATATGTGTCCAATAATACGAGTTAACTCCTATGATCTAACTTCCCTCCACTCTTCTCCACACGCCCTTCCGCAGGAGATGCAGCTGGAACATGCGCGGCAGGCTTTCATCCAGCGGGACCAGGATCACAGCGGCTCCATCTCGGCCCTGGACTTCAGGGACATCATGGTCACCATCCGGCCACACATCCTCACATCCTTCGTGGAGCAATGCCTCGTGGCGGTGGGTTTTTGTTTGGCTCTGCGGATCTCTTCCATTTGTTGTAGCGTCGTCCACACCTGGGAGTAATGATACTTAAGAGAATATTGTACAAATTGTGGGTTTTGGATTTAGCAGCACCTAATTGATTCATTACTGCAAGACTGTCATCGTTTAATTGAACTTTGTAGCTGTGTTGCTACAGGTACCTCTATATTCATCATGTGTTGTGATATCATATAATTCCTATGTTTGCATACAAATGTTTGTATGACAAAAAGTAAAACGATGCACACTTCATACACAAACACAATGTTTACATGTGCTTCCACATACTTCATAAGCGATGTTTGCCACTGATGTAGTTGCTAATGCCAGCTAGGAAGGAAAGAGACCTAACATTACTCTATTCTCCTTAAAAGGGTAAAAGGCAAGACTGTTTTTTTTTCCATCTCACGACCTCGTTCTTGTCTTTTTCTGTATTCCCTGCATTCGTTTCTTTCTCTCACACCCCCACAACCAAACACTGTGGCTTTCTCTTTCCCTCCAGCTGTCCATCTCTCGTTTCTTCGTCTTCCTCTTCTACCTTTTTCTGTCACCTCTCATCCGTCCTCTCTTTTTTTCCCCCCTCCCTTCATTTCTTCTCCTTCTCAAACCGCCCCTCTTTCTCTCCCTCACTCCCCCGTGTCTCTGTCTCACTCCCAACGTGTCATTAAGTCTAACCTCTCTGGCAGTGTCAAAGCCGAGCAGGCCAGCTGAATGGGAAGAGAGAGACCGAGATAGACGGAGACTGCAGCGCCGCAGTCCATCATCTGTGTGTGTGTGCGGGAGCAGCTGTGCACGTGCACTCTTATTTGTTTTGAACTCTGAGATGTTTGTCTTTTATTTTATTTCTGTCTTGTCTTTTCTTTGTGTGTGTTTGTGTTTGTGTTGCACGCGTGTGAGTCTGTGTCCATGTCTTGCCCCATTTCATAAACACCTTGTAGACTCTGTCATTTTCTCCACTGTGTTTACCTCACCGACCAGACATCTTGGTGTGCTGTTAGTAAACTCACACACACACACACACACACACACACACACACACACACACACACACACACACGCGCCCTCACACACATATCAAAAAACCCATAAACACTGCAGACACATTAAAGGTGGTATTATGGCAGAACAGAAACAGTGCAGGCAACCTTTAATTCACTCGCAAAACATGGCAAATGAGCGCCACACTCTTTCACCCAAACATTTTTCTCCTCTGCCCCTCTGTAAAAGACTTTGAGTTGGATATCGTGGGAAGATCCATGTCTATAGGCTCATAGATATGAACAGATACAAAAGTGTATCTCTGTTAAGGCAGTTTCGCCCGAGCCAGAGCTTCCCCCCTTGTTTCAAACTCAGTGAGCTGCAAGCAACCTTCCCAGTGTGTCTGTAAAGCAAACAGTGCCATCTAGTGAAAGGAAGCTCTACGTTTCCCCCTCAAGAGCTGCAAAGCCTCAAGGCTCATCAGATACTTTGGCTTAAGTTAACAAAACTGGCCACAGCATTTATGAAATGTACTCAAAATCACATTTGTATACAGGCAGCTTTTCGAGCTGCTCCTCTACGAGTTTGAGAGCCTGATTTGATAAAGATGAGATGCTGCTTCACATAAAAGAGTGTGTGTGCAGTCTGGAATGTCCTCTAAAGGCCAGCGTCTATTTTTGATCCTTTACCTTTATCACTTCCTCCACCTCATAAAGAAAGTTAATTAAAGTCTTCGAGAGCGTTCGTTGTGTGATGGAAAAAGTAGTGGTTGATGCATGTTTACTTCTCCCTGTGGAGCGTCGGTAAGGAGGGACGTTGATTAACCACCGGCATTCATCAAGATTTCCTTTTTGTGATGTGTGATGTTTTTATTCCGTCTTAGTATCTAATTTAAAATGTCAAAATGCATATGTTCTGTTTGGACTGCAGTGTGTTTGTGTATTTGGATAAGAACTTCTAGCATGTTAAAATGCTTGTCTCCACCCTTGTTTAGGTTGCGGGTGGCACCACATCTCACCAGGTCAGCTTCTCCTACTTCAACGGATTCAACTCTCTTCTCAACAACATGGAGCTGATCAGGAAGGTCTTCAGCACTCTGGCTGGCCACCGCAAAGATGTGGAAGTCACCAAAGGTACACAGGGAGGAAAAGTCATACACTAAATGTATTTATACTAAAAGACACACACTCACAAAGGAAATGTGTGGCACAAAGTGGTCCTGCACTACAGGGAGTATTATATGTGTTTCTCCAGATATTGTATTTACGTCTGTGTGCTCTGAGGGTGGAAACTTGTTTTTGTTTGGTTTTCTTGCTTCCCGGTGGCATTTAAATGGGCATGCTGGATGTGACCGTGCACACGTACTGCATACACACAATCCCTGATGGAGCCTGTCTTGTCTATTAGACATTCTGGCACTGATCTGAGGACTGCTCTTTTTGTCCTGGCATGCTTTTTGGTTTTTAATGAGATTTTTGATTCTTAAAAAAAAAGAAAGAAAATCATTGCCTTACTTTTTGATGATGAGGTGTGTTGTCTCAACCTGTAGATCAATGTGCACATTAGAGAGTTCAAACCATTTTGAAACTCTATAATTTAAATTACTGTAGTGCAAAGATGTAAAGCTACAAGGTGATGAAAAGGAAGTATTATTATATATTCATCCAACAGCCTTTGTCTTTTTTTTAAAAGACATTTTCTCAATTCTTCTTCGTCTCCCATGGTTAGTCTCTTTAAATCCTTATCTCGCTCACTTGCTTGCCCCACTTGCTGTCTCTCATTCCTTTCCTCAGTACTTGGCAGGAAGCCAAGTCAGCTCTCTCTGTCTCTCCACCTTTCCCAGTCTCTTTCCTTCTGACTCCCTCTCTCCTTCTCTGGCCGTCCATTATGACCTCTCTCCACATTGCCCAGAGCCTCGAGTGCAGCCTTATGATGCTATCTGCAGTCTTATCAGGGGTGTGGACTGTAGCCGACCCAGACCAAGAGCCCATGCGCTCCCCAGGCTGTTCCCACCATGGGTACACCGAGGTTGGGCTTGGCTCGACCCGCGGTGGCCCGTAGCCAGCCAGACCTCCACACAGCCACCACCCTCCACTCCCCGAGTCATTAAGGCCTCCTCTGGGGACTGCAAGTGCTCGGCTTCATGTACCACTGGCCGGCCGACAAACACATACTGAACACACACACCCGCATGTATCCAGTGTGTGTGTATTTGTAACACACCATTTGAAACATTTCTTGCATACACACGAGAATTCAGATGCATTAACACAGTCAAGCATGCACACATGTGTAATAATCCTGATTGATTCCGCATGTGCAACCAGGCCACTGTTTTGCCTTGGGTACGCCATTACAGTGAGTGTACACGTTTGTGAGTGTTTGTGTGGGTACGTGCACAGAAGACTTTTAGAGAACGCACCTTTTTTTTTTAGCTAGCAGTGTACACCACAAGGCAATTCATGACTGTGCATCTTTTTTAAGTTAAAACAAATGTGTGTGTTGAATGAAGACACATTATGTGAGCCATTCACATCTTAACAATTCAGTGGTTGTTTCCAAATATCTTAGAAAATGCATTTTGTGTTCCCTGAGAATGACGTCTTAACTTTGGTTATCCCTCACTTTTTGTCTAGAGCCACCTTGATTTTGAAATGTGTGGTTTTGAGTCGAATGTCTCAACAACAATTGAATAGATTGCTCAGAAATCTAGCGAAACATTCATGTTCCCTGATGATTCATTCAAACAGCTTTGGTGATCTCATGACTTTGCATCTAAAGACTTGATTATAGAAAAACGGGTCCAATAATTGTTGATGACTAAATATCTGCAAAACAATTTCCATTCCTCAATTTCCAAGCCTCAACCGTACTTTGGTGCCAACAAATGAATATTAGCACACTACTATGCTAGAAGTAAGACAGCAAACATTATTAACACCATATCTGCTAACATCATTGTGAGAATGTGAGCATTACGCTGAAGCTTCAGCATAACCTCACACATTTGATAGCATGGCTGTAGATCAAAACAATTAAATAATTTAAGACGCACATGTAATAGCAATTTACAGTTGGTCCTTTTTTTTTTTTTTTTTCCACAAGCACCAAAAGGATGTTAAGATGGTAGTTTATGTTGAACAATTATGTGATATCTAGCTTCTTAATTGTTCTTTTGGAGGTGTCAGTATCAGTTTAGACATTTCAGCAGCTATGTACAGAGCAAAACTGATTTATGATCTGTGTCCTGCTACACAGGTTAATCTTTAGCTTAGATATCAATTATCAAGGAACTGTGAAGTTGAGACAGTTATGAGGGACTTTGCCTTTCCTTTTAATACACCATGAAATGGACCACTTCACAGAGAGGCAGGTAATCATATAATATGGTCAGAGGATAGTCAAGTGTGTGTGTGTGTACATGTGTGTATTGGTGACTACAGGCTACAGGTAGACAGGTTATCAGCATTGTGATCTGTGATCACCGCAGACAGACTTCTGTCTACGTCTGAGTGTGTGTGAGAGAGAGTTTATTCTTGTGTAAGTATGCTCTCTCACATGCTTGCATTACCTGCATATACCCATGGATATGTGTGTGTATGTGTGTGTGAGAGACAGAGAGCATGCCTCAGAGGTAAGCTGAGCCTCGGCGGGTGAATGGCTCCAGTGTAGGACGACTTTGTCACAACCCCAGCCTGCTGCTCTTTGAATAAAGCAGGTCAAACAATGCTGACTCCTCCACTGTAAGCCAGCCTACAGTCAACCTGTTCTTTATTCCACTGACAATACACCAGGTCTTAAGTTACGCCATACTAAAGCTGCCTCAGAAGAACTCTGCGTTGCCATACTTTCAGTTTTCTTTTTCTTATGATACATTTAACATGCTTTGACACTTCAGCCATTAAAGTTTCAACAAAGTCACACACGGTAAAGTACAAAAAGTGAAGTCTAAAACTGGTATAAGCGATAAGTCCCAGATAACAATTCCTTTATGAATGTTTCCTCTAGTGATGGGAGTGAAAAGAACATCACGAAATGCAGCTTTTTACCGCGGGGCATGAACTAGTGTTCATTATGTAACTTGCCATTCATCTGCGTTTAGATGGAAATACCTGTCATGGCTTTACAAGTAGCTAGCCTGTCTTTTGCTGGTTAACACAGAAATGCAATGATATTGAATTAAAGGTACAGAACAAAGAATATTAATGTATCTTGAATTGGATTTTATTTTAGCAGTATTTCCCATCCCAGCTGTAACTTTCCAAATTCCCACTCTGTCATCATATTTTGGTGCATTGTTTGTAACATGATATTGATTGATGATTTTGAGTTAATGAGGCTAATGGAAATATGAATCGGATGAGAACAAAAGAGATGTCAGTCAGAGGAAACTGATTTTCTTTGTGAAAACAGATTGTGTGTAGGTGATTCATTCAGCTCAGCACTACTTATTAACTTAGTTTCATGATGAAATGGCAGTTTGACATGTAACTACTATAGCAGTTGGGAAAATATAGCATGTCAAAGACAAAGAAAAATGTAAGTTTTAAAAGCAGAAGGCATTGTTTGATGCTTTTGCAACAGGTTGTTGTCTGTGGACTGCAGTTTATTGCATTACACAATTATTTTTGCCCCAGGCCTACTGTCCTTACTGCCTTTTTAAAGCCTTGACAAACCAACCAAAGTCGTTAAATTGATGTCAAGTTCCTTTGCCATGCTCCTAATATTATGGAAATAGGAAATGACAGTTTATTGAGGAGAAGCAATACATATTCTGTCCTTGTTATAAAATGGGTCAAACATGTTCTCAGTGAGATCTGGGCTCCACTCAGGCTGTTCCTCTATTCTGTTTGTAATTGTCATGGACTGAATCCCACAGCTCAGCCAAAGAGTTGATTGTTTGCCTTTGTTACGTCTAATTTTTATTGCTCTTTGCTGGTGATGTAGCCATGTTGGCTCCATCAGGGCATGACCTGGCATGCACTGGGGCAGTTTGAAGCCAGATTTGCAGCAGGCTTTTCGGCACCTCTAATCTATGTCTGGAAAAAGGCCAAATGCCTTGAGTTGAAAGAATAGTATGTGACATTTCCAAATTATAATATCTATTGTGTATATTTTGTTGAGTTGCGTACTTTCATTATAACAAACTTGTCCAACAATTTTCCAACCTAGAGAAATCCATCATTCTAATCACATCACGGTAACTGTCTGTCATGTGTTTGTCTTCAATGATGACGTTTCTCCTTATTGCGTCAGTGTTGTGGTCGTCTGCCAGAAGCTGTCATTAGTCAGACTTTTTATCCAGTTTCATCAACATATTTACAGCATACTTTTGTAGACCTTTGTCTTTTTTAACTATATATTCACACCATATAAAGGATCCAAGGTCTTATGGATATTTTACCCTTGTAATGTAATAGTGAGATTGGAACTGAGGCTCTGGAGTCACCTGTGATTTGACATCGCTGCACCAGTGTCCCTGAGCTTTGAGCTTGTATCTGATACATTCAGAAGGTGCTCAGAGTTTGCGGTTTCTCCACATTGAAAGGAGGCAGTCAAAGTTGCTCAGGGATCTGATCCTGATGCTCCCTTTGTGCCTCGCTGTGGACGTCCCCAGACCCAGAACACACTGGATGAATTATACATATCCCATCTGGCCTGGGAATACCTGGGGATCCCCCAGGCTGAGCTAGAGGATGTAGCTGAGGAGAAAAAAAAGCCTGGCTGTTGAAACATCTGCTGAGTGCACTGCCAACATGAACTGGCAATGATTTAGAATTGAGATATTTGTATTTTATTAATATATTACTTTTATTCCCTGTTTTTATTTTCTATCTGAGTGGTTATCTGTAACATACTGTAATCAGTATCTTAAAGTGTGGTGCTGTTGTTTTTTGTAAAAATGTAAAAAATAAATGTTCTCTTTCTTTGCAGAGGAGTTTATTGTGGCAGCTCAGAGGTTCGGTCAGGTGACACCCATGGAGGTCAACATCCTCTTTCAGCTGGCTGACCTGTCAGATCCTAGAGGGTAACACACACACACCTACACACATACACACATATCTTTAAAGAGGCACACACAACAAGTATACTAGCTTTGATTTAATACCTCCATTTTGATAATGTATCCGTGGTATAACTTCCTTTTTCTATTTAATGTAGTCTAGGGATGGATAATACAATCTCTGAGGAAATAATCATAAGTAGTGTGTATATGAAGGCCAAGCAAATATGTGCATTTAATCTATGTTTTACTCACAACTGAATTCATACTTAAGTCATTAAATGTTTTACTCAGTCAGTCGGGGAGTTGTAAGTCTATCCCGCTCTTTCCCCCCATGGCGCACCTTTAGCCCCGGGGTCGATACCTCAGAGAGACAAGCGCTTTCTTCCTTCTCAAACTCCTCTGCCAAGGATCAAAAGAATCAGACATGACTACATCAGTGCCAGAGAATCCTCTTTCAGTCCAAAACTAATCCAAACTCCCATTTATTTAAGAAAAAAGGGCAATCCAGGCCCTATGATCCGTGGCACACAACAACTGTATGCGTTTCACATTCCCTCACTTCCTTTGCGTCTGCCTCGCGGCCCAACCAGTGCACTCATAATTCCTAACCCCGGCCTGAGACACCACCTGATTATTATTTCTGGGCAATGGGATACTTTAATAGCCCTCTCCACTCCCCTTGATTGGAGATGCGAGAGATAATAGCCCCAATATTCAGACGAGAGGGGTGGGAGCGGATTTTGGCGGTCCCGGTTCCCTCAGCCTGGGAAATCTGGGATCGCCAGTGAGAAATGCAATGGAAAGACTAGGAAAGGCAGCAGTATTACATCCAAAGGTTAAATATCTTTGTTATACTTGGGAGTCGTCAGTTCCTATAGATCAGTTGCCTAGCTCAATCATGCCAAGCACAGGCGTAGATTTTTGAATGCCACAATGTTTTCAATGATGGCAAAGTATCCGAGTAACTTCAGACTGACAGTTAGCGTTGCCAAAGGTCATGGACATGGTGATGTATCGGGAAATAATGTATTCCTCTGAGAGTTTTTACAACCTCTGAAAGTTACTTGAAACCTCTCCTCTCCCTCTCCTCATCAGACGTGTTGGTTTAGTGGACATTGAGCAGATCGCTCCGCTGGAGGAAGGCGCCCTGCCCTACAACTTGGCCGAGGTCCAGAGACAGGTACAGCATATGAAGACTTGTTGATGTGTTTGGTTTCCTCTTCCACAAGGGCAGCTCTTTTTTGCGTCTCAATACATTCTCTGGGGCTAGATGTCACCATGCAGATTTGTAATTAATGATAATGATATCTCCTGTTCACTCGTAATGAATCCCTCCTGTGTTTGATGCCAAAAATACACAATTCATTCATTGAGATATTAAAGACTTGCGTGTATGTAAATAAAACACTGTAAACACAAATGCAAACAACTTTTGTCAGATGTAGAGCAGTAAGTTTGCCCCCAAAACCTGTCAGTACTGCTTATTTTCAAAAGTTCATAACAAGGTTTGGACCAAGTTGTCTCCACGTAACTTTCCATCATAGACTTACAGAGGATTTTTTTAGGAGAGAAAACTCTTCTAAACCTCTCCTTGACATGTGGTTGATGTCTTACAACAGAAACCAGACACAACTCATAAATCCAGAGAGATAAAGTCAAGCAGATCCATCCTCGAGGCCTAATCATTCTCTAAAATCCTTTACAGTGCAAAAATAATAGACGTGCAGAGACTTTGCAGCAGCTGACAAGAGCAATTTGTAATGAAGAGGAGGAAGGGGGACGTACGGACATCCAGACAGATGAGCAGAGTTTGACTGTTTTCCTTCCCGGTCTGAGTTTTGATGCCTGGTGGGTTCCAGCTCTACAGTGAATGCTTGGCCAGGCCATATTGGAGCAGGCGGGGGCCAAAGGGGAGAACGCAAAGGGGCCCAGCACTACACAGACGCCAGTCCCACCACAATGAGCCACTTTAGGCCCTTGTGGTTTGGCCTCAGGGGCTGGCCGCCAGCTAGCTGGAGCTCTCTCTCCTCATCCTTAGTTCTCTCCATTTCCTTTTTTGATCTACTTCTCTCTCCCTCTAACTTATTTCTCTACATGTTTGTCGGTATGCATTTTCTCTCTGTTAACTTGTTCCCTCCTTCTCCCTCAAACATCCAGTGTTTCTCTCCAGTCCTCCCTCTGCAGACAGCGCTGAGCAGGACGGTAGATGTGGAGAAGGTTGTGTTTCAAGAATACATTTTGGCAGGAAGAAACCTCTGCGAATGAATTGTAAGAGGGGGTGGGAGTTCAGTCTGACAGGTGGACCTGTTCTATAGACTCCCATCCCCCTCACACTCACACACACATACATACTTACAACTCTCCCCCCCCCCTCTCCCCAGGGTCGAGACCCGGGCAGAGCAGACAAGGCAACAGGTACCTCAGGTGGAGGGGGAGCGTGGCTAATGTTACTGTGTGGCTAATGCTGGCTATTAACACTCTTCTGCTCATGATGGTGATGATAACAAGGGTGAACTAAGATCACTTTGATTTGATTTACATGCCTTCACACAACAGTCTAGACCAGTTCTTAGTTAAGCATGGGGAATTCTCTGAGACTGGCAACTGATTAACCGATGGTATAAGCTTTGCATATATTTGAACTTAGGTAGAGTAAAGAGTATGTTTATTGGAAAAAAGTCATTATAAACTGATTTTTGAAAGATTTTTCTGAAGTATTATAACATCTGAAATATATTATACTCGGCCAGGACAGAGAAAGCTATCTAAAACTAAGACTTAATATTTCTGTATTTCTCAAGATACATAACAGATATTCAAGTGCACAAGTGGACCCATTTTAATTTCATTAATGGTATCTTGTACTTTCCAATTTGACTAACTGACGATTTGAAATATAATAATAATTTACCTGTGCAGGGATTTTTGTCACTTTCTTTAGTTATTTGATCTAATCCTGAAATTATTTGTTTATTAGCCGATTAGTATGTCCAAAACATAAATCTACAATTTGAATATGGTCTTGTTTTGCTTTCAGAGTTATCAAGAGTCATAAGGACGTCCTCTCAAGTTATGAGAAGTAATGATTGGTATTCATTTCACAATTTTCTGGCATCACATAATCTTTATTTGTGTATTTGTGCACTCTCACTTATCAAAAAACACATGCTTACTCATATATTCAACACGCTTTATACTCTTACTTGTCTGCAGGGTTGTATTAATTGACCATTTTACTGTTTTAAATGTCCATCATGAAAATAGGAAATGCTCTCTAACACTTTAGAGCAGGTGTGACCACTGATTGATTAAATAGCCTCTCATTTAGCCTGCAGGGTGGTGGAATCAGATCTGTGGCGTCCAATGTCTTGTAAGAGAAAGTATTGGAGTGCATTTGGATTGGTGGAGAAAAATTCATGTCTAAAACAGTGTCATGTCTCTCTGTTATTAAATCATGGTGTCTTCTGTCTCCCCTGTCTCCCCCCCCCGCTGTGTGAGCAGCAGTTGGGCGGTGACGTCTCCCGGCCCATCCTCACCCAGGTGGCCGAGTCGGCCTACAGGTTCTCCCTTGGCTCTGTGGCAGGGGGTAAGAGTCACGCCCCATTGGCTCCCTGCATACCTTCACCCCACCTACCTGCTTGCGTGTCTGCCTGCCCCCCCCCCTCTTCGCCCTCTGCTGTCCTCATAAGAAAAGGGTGAGAGAGAGAGAGAGAGAGAGAACAATGGCCCCTCTATTGCCCTTCCCCTTGCTTACAAGAGCAACGGTTGCTGCCCTGCTTCTCTCTCTATCTCTTTCCCGCCCTTCACCATCCTCTCTCCCGTCCCTCGGCTCTCTGGGAAAACCCTTCTGTGTGGATTCTATTGTACCTCTGTGAGTGATCAGAGGGAGGTGAGGGTGGGGGTGACGGGTGGTGCCTAGGCCTTGTGTTTGGCTTCAGACTCCCCACTGTTTTCTACTCCTCCCTCCCTTCATTCCTCCTCCTTCTATCCCAAGGGAGACAGCTTAATAAGGAGGTACGGGTCCGCCATCCCTTCTTCTGCCTCGGCCTCTCTCTAATTAAGTCTGTCGCCTTGGGTCGGTTCTTTTTGTTTGTGTCCGTCTGAAGGGCCAAAGACACTGGAAATCAAAACACTTCCACGTCTTTCTTAACCCCAACCCCACAGACTTCCCCTTCCTCCTCCGCCTTTACCTCCTCTTCCTTTTTAAAGGGTCAACACACCCGAATTACAAAGACATATGTTCTCACCTCTCTCCAATTGTCTTGAGCAGAGTTACCTGCTTTTTGTTTGTTTTCCACCCCATTGTAAGCCAGTAATCTGAAATGTGTTTGTAATGCTCACAGCGACTCTATTACTTCTTTCTATACGGTTCGAACAAGAATTCAAACTGAAGCTTTAACTGCACACATTTCTCATGAACTGCTATTTTCAACATAATGAATGCCTTCTGTTCATGATTTGGTTTATGTTTTTATTGAATTCATTTGATCTACACTTCTAATTGCACTTCAAACAGGTCATTCTTCAATGTAGGCTTAAAGTTATTATCATTAAACACAATATGAGCCTAACAACATTCTCTTCTCTTTACTCGTACTCAACTATCTCTGTAGCATCCTTAAACTTCTCTATATTACTGTTGGAAAACACAAGAAAGTAAGGGGGGGATACAATTGTAGATAAACCGATGGTGTCGATCATAACTGTGTGAACAAATCACCTGTGTGAATACATGTATTAAGAATAAACAACATGACCAATATCAATAACCATGTTCTATTCCTCTGTAGCTGTGGGGGCCACAGCAGTGTACCCCATTGATCTGGTGAAGACTCGCATGCAGAACCAGAGGGGCAGCGGCTCCCTGGTGGGAGAGCTCATGTACAAGAACAGCTTCGACTGCTTCAGGAAGGTGGTGCGCTACGAGGGCCTCTTCGGCCTTTACCGAGGTTAGTATGCATGTGTAATGTCAAATATAGGCATACTGTAAAATGTTGTTGCAAACTAGTTGATAGCGTCTTTAAGGACTCCATGCATCATCCATCTTGCATTTTAAATAAGCCAGGTTTATTATTTAAGCACATCATTTCCCATTTCCCATGCAAACCTGCACAGGCAATGTACTCCTTCTTGAGCCCATAAAATACAATGGTTTTAGTGGAAATGCATTTAGGAAGTAGTGACCGTACTGCAGTTGTGAGTTTGTAAAAGGATGTTTGGATATAGTTTAGCTGTTGTTAAATGGGACCCTTGTTTACTTTATTTGATCAAGGAGTTTGACTTTTTTAGATGCTTTGTTCCTCTTGGAGCGATCGTGTAAAAAAGATACCGACTATCTTAAAGATTGAAACGTGACACGCGGGGAGTAATCGATTTTCTGATAATATTTTATAAGGTACATAATTCATTTAGGTACCATTTAAAATAAATCCATCCAAAATGTGTATATACACGCAGCTTTTCAGGAAAATCAACCCACAGGTAGTCAAATCTACAAAACAGGTTTTTAAGGAGAGCTGAGATGTGAGAGAAGAAAGAAGAAGTAGAGGGGACAATAAATGTGGAGGGGAGAAGAAAAGTGTAGGGTGGACAGGAGGCTGTATGAGTTCACCTCTCTGCTGACCTGTCTCCTTTGAAGTGATTACCGGCTGGCTGAGGACTTTCAGAGCAGGACAAAGAACGTCACACGCAAGGCCACATACCTTTAGGCATGTGTCAAGATGTGGTGATGTCGCATGTCTGGACTTACACACTTGTGCACAGACACTGAACACAAGTATGTAGGCATGCACACACGGACATGCAGGTACTGCTACATTTAGGTACGCACATACCAGGGCACGACATCCCTAATGACTACCTGCCCTGTCTGTAGGAGCCGGGGTTAGGGTGTCTGTGTCCGTATTGTTGGGGTCGGATTGAAGAAAGATTGAAAAAAGAAAAGTCCCCAGGAACGGTGGCGGGGCCTTTTTTTAAATCCCATGGTTCTGATTGACAGCACCGGGCTCCCGAGAGGAAACTTGAATGCTTGAATATCTGTGGGAAATACAAAGGCCATGAAGGGTGGAAAGGCTTCACAGACGCAGAGACAGACAGGTCTGGCTCCAGAGAGATGGCCAGACGGGGATCCTGACAGCCAAACTGTAGTTATGTACCTAAAGTGCCTTTACTGAAAAACTCTGCTTAGCTAAAGAATGTGGAATCAGCAGGGCAACATTGGCACAAAACTAATGTCACATTTCATTAACAAATGAGAAATAGGAGCATTATTTTATGATTTAGCCAAAAATAAATTAGCTGTATTTTCTCATTTCCTAACATGTGTGTGTCTTTATTCTGTGCTGAAAGTGTGTCGGCATTTGGGGAAAACATTTATATAACTTTTTCATTTTTCATGAGGTCCAGGCATTAGGTCTTTGTGCCAAGCCAAATTGACTATATGATTATGTGTGTGTGGCCTCGCAGCAAAACTACTGTAGAATATCAACTGTGTTTGTAACTGAGGAAGTGTGTGTGTGTGTGTGTGTGTGTGTGTGTGTGTGTGTGTGTGTTGTGTGTGTGTGTGTGTGTGTGTGTGTGTGTGTGTGTGTGTGTGGGTGTGTGTGTGTGTGTGTGTGTGTGTGTGTGTGTGTGTGTGTGTGTGTGTGTGTGTGTGTGTGTGTGTGTGTGTGTGTGTGTGTGTGTGTGTGTGTGTGTGTGTGTGTGTGTGTGTGTGTGTGTGTGTGTGTGTGTGTGTGTGTGTGTGTGTGTGTGTGTGTGTGTGTGTGTGTGTGTGTGTGTGTGTGTGTGTGTGTGTGTGTGTGTGTGTGTGCCTTGCCTTTGGGCTGGGTAGGGGGCCAAGTTTCATTGTGCTCCGTTGTGATTATTTTGTTTATTTTTACCCTGCTCTGGGTTGTAATTGAGGTCTGCGTAAACTTTTGGTCGGTTTGTTTTATACTCTGCCCTTTTTTCCTATTCTGGGAAGCAGTTTCTCTCTCTCTTCCTCCTCTCTTCCCCCCCTTCTTCCTCTCTCTCTTGTTGCTACTCTGATGTCCCCACACTCCACATCAATAGATTTCATTAGCGTCTGCAGGATCTTGCAGGGTCGGACGCATGCAGCGGGAAGCCACACATCATGTGGAGTGTGTGGAAGTGGCATATGTATATGTATGTGTGCGAGTGAGTGGGGGTACCACAGCACTCTTTTTTTCTAATCATCTCCTCGTTTTCTAATGATAGGTCTCGTACCACAGCTACTGGGTGTGGCGCCCGAGAAAGCCATAAAGCTCACAGTAAGTCACTGCGAAAGTACACAGACACACAAATGCACATTTACACACAGAGATATCCATGAGGTGCTTTCATTGCTCTTAACTTACATGATGCTATAGATACTACACATACACACAGACAAATGAAAAATGAAAAGAAAAAAAGAGCAAAAGATGAACTGTATTGTATAGTGCAACATTATTATATCCAGTCATTTTTCTGCATTTCCAGGTTCTCATTAACACAATGTATATCTACTGTACATTTATACCATGTTCTACCATACCCGTTTGAAAATCTCTTGCCTGACCTTTGTGTTTTTAGGTGAATGACTTTGTGCGAGGAAAGACTCGACAGAAAGACGGCACCATCCCGCTGGCAGCTGAGATCATGGCTGGTGGATTTGTAAGTTAACTTAATGTGTTACAAGTAAAGTGTAGAACTAGTGGTGAGTCCAACTATTTCGTTTTCTTAAACAGTGTGTGTGATTTTTTTTTATACAAAAAGCCTAATAAGATCTCAAACGTACATCAAGTACATACTATTTCCAGTAACATATAACAATAATCAAACACCTGATGTTACAGTGGCTTACATATCCCACAATGCAATATGGCAACGAGGATGCCTTCGAGACAGGTTTGCATTTTCTATCATTCTTGCTATCAGGTGTTTGCAGGAAGTGACAGCTCAGCTTCCGAAAACTGTAGATTTTAAGTATGTCAAACAAAGTACACGTATTGTGTATAAAGTGCACCGTAAGCGATTTTGGACACAGCATAAAAAAGTGATAATAACCCAACTTTTAAAAAAGGCGTTAAAAAGCCTTCATTATTTGTTGCATTCGGTTGCTCTCAGTACTTATTAAGAATGATTTTTTTATATTTGAAAGCTGACCATACCTAACATACTGTTATGCAATTATGGTGTGATTTCTGAATGACTAAAACAGCAGTGCAGAGTTTCTTGATTGAGTGAGGGTGTCATAACATCTTAAAGCCACAGTTAGGGACTCAGTTCTTCACTTAGTTTCCCAGAACCCAAATCTCTCCTTAAACCTCTATAAGACTGTTGTCAGTGTGAATATGGCCTGAAATATTCAGCATATTTGCAACAGTGTGCAAGTAATTTTCTCAAATACAGTCAGCATTACATATTTCAGATTTCACCTTCTTTTCCATAAAAGCCAAAACATGACGCCTCTCTCTCTCACCCTCTTCATTACCCTGGCTCCTCAAGTGCACTGTACTGATATTATCTGGCACAGTACACAGACAGTATATACAGTACCAAGACAGCATACATCTCTTAACTATGTTTACGGGTTTTCTGAGTGCCGCCTCTTTGACAGTTGAGCAGACAGACACGGAGCTGTTTGGAGTCCAGGAGTCTCTGTTTGTTGATGGAAAGTAGAGAGATCACACATGAAAGGGCAAATGCTTATACTGTACATGCTCGCGTATGTGTGCATGTATGACAAACAGAAGAGTATACAGGTGCGCACACACACACACACACACACACACACACACACACACACACACACACACACACACACACACACACACACACACACACACACACACACACACACCTACACGGAGGAGATGAAGATTGACAGCGGCTGCTACCTGAGACCTCTACCAGTCTGTTACCTGCTCCCCTCCCATCATAGGTTTTGATCACTGAGCTGTCACAGACTACCCCCAACACACACACACACACACACACACACACACACACACACACACACACACACACACACACACACACACACACACACACACACACACACACACACACGCACACGTGCACACACACACACACTAAGGCTGGCAGCTTTAGCCTGAGCAAATGAAAGAAGGTCTTTCACTCAACCCTCTTTTGATGCTGATCACTAAAGCAAAGTATTTCAGGATACACAAGTCATTATGGGTTTAGCTCCACTCAGGCACATTCAATTGACCTTATTAGTTCTAAAAATATGTTTTGAATAATGTTTTAGCACACTAGATTTGCTGTAAATTTTGTTTTTTATGTGAACGATTTTAGATTGTGACAAAAATGAAAAAGTGTAGCAGCAACCACAGGAAAGTTAATTTACTGAAGAAATGTTCTGCGCTGTACTGGGTGTGAAAAGTAGTGGTTCCCTATTCTATACAAACCCATATGGATTCAGGAGCAAAACAAAAACAGATGCAGAGGAGAGGATAAATGTAGAGGAGAGGAGTGTGGATGGATGGATTTTTCCTCTTTTCCTCAGTGAGCCGTCGTGACAGCTCCTTTCATCCTGGCTGAGGCCCCGGTGTTAGTGCTGGCACTGCACTCTGCCTGCCACTTTATCTTACACACACACACACACACACACACACACACACACACACACACACACACACACACACACACACACACACACACACACACCACACACACACACGCACAGATATGTCGAACCCTCCTGAACCCTGTTTTAGTGAGGCTCCAGCCACAGCACATGAAATCTGTTTATATCATTTGGTAGCTGTGAAAGTGTTGCTTTGGACCACAGTGTCAGCCTCAGGTCCACAGTCTATAAAGCAAGGGACAGAGACAGGAAGAAGGAAGAACAGTGGGAAAACAATGTGAAATGTTCACTTTCTGTGCCGTAAACTTCTCTTGAGGCGTCTTTGTGTCCTCCTTTATCAATGATCCTCATCTTTCGTCTTCTCTTGCCTTTTTAAATGTCTTCTAAAGGAGATAGTTTAACCCAAAAATAAAAATACATATTCTTCCTCTTTCCTGTAATAGTGCTATTTAGTGTGAGTTGGAAGATGGAAATATCAGCCATAGAGATGTTTGCCTTCTTTCAAATATAATAGAACTAGATTGCTCTTGGCTTGTGATGTGTAAAAAATACTTGGAAAACCTCAACAGTAATGTCTCTTTCCAGGAATCATGACCCGGTTACTGAAGATTATTCAAAGACGTTGCAGTTTCATGTAGGAACTATTTTCTTTCTACCAAACTACACCCGTCACTGAGTGCGCCTCTTGCCCATTAGTAGATGCATGCTTCCTTCTCCATTTCTATATTCTTTGCGGGTATAGATAGCTAGAAAAATACAACTCCAACTTGAATATGTATTTTAGATTTTTGGTTGTTCTGTCCCCTTTAAACATGCTCCTGTCCTCTTCTCACCTCTCTCTCTCTCCTGCTCCCTCCTCTGTCCCTCTCTAAACCTGTGGCTCAGCACCATTAAGCCGCAGTGCTGGGTTGCCAGTTTCTAATGATTATTTGGTAAGAACGGCATGCCCCGTTGACTGAGCTGGCGGGATGCTTATCTGGCAGTTACTGGCCTGCATTTTAGGACTTAAGTTTCACAAAATACTTACTGGGTCATTGCTGAGAGAGGGAACAGGGTGAGCCTGAGAGTCAAAATACAATAATACTTTGTTCGTGTTTGTTGTGAGTGTAGCACAGTTTGCATGGCTGGTTTAAGTCTTTGTAATGAGTTTCTTATTCAGGCCTGATGTGCCTTATGAACATTATCAAAGAATCTTATACACACACCAAGACCTGCACATATAAGTACTGACCAATAAGGGTGGTCAGTACAAATGAAGTGTTATTCATGGAGTGATGTAGGGAGTTTTTGGCGTGTGAATGTCTCGTGCGGTGGTTCTTGAAACTTTCCTCAGCTCTTGGTAGGAGCTGTGGTGCGTGCATAAGGTGCTGACGTCCCAGGTTTCTAAGGATCACCTTGCCTTGTAATTACCTGGGAATCATCAGAGAGCAGCCGACGCTGTCACTCCATAATCACAACCCTCAACCTCTCTGCCTCCTCCTCGACCTTCCCTCACTTCTGTTGTTTGGACTACACCTCTGTCTTGTTTCTGTCTCACCCTCTTTTTCTCTCTCATTAGCCCACTTTGTTTATTTGTCTCATCCTCTATTCGTCCCGGACGCTCAAACGTTTTTGGAGGGGTGTTCCACAGTAAAGTAGGAACGTGCAGTTGAAGTGCAGAGAAAGCTTTGCACTGTCACTCCTTTTTCTCTCATGTTGTCGGGTCTAATTGTCAGCGCGTCTCTCTGAACAATGTTGTTGTTTACTCTCCTCGACTAAACAACATCTCCATCTCCAGACTCATTAGTATCCAATTGAAGCAGCCAACACTGCTCGAGGCTGAAGCCAATAGCCTCTTGATGTTCACGCTATTAGCCAGCACGTAATCAAGGAGTTTATTTCCATAAAACAACTCATAAAGAGTTAGCTGTGAGATGTAGCAGCTTTATAGCGGCAGCCCTCCTGCTATTCACAGCCTATACTGTGTGTTATTTAGAAAACACACCTTCAATGAGACTATTATGATATGTGTGTCTCCCTCCTCCCTCTCCTCTATTAGGCAATATATGGTAACACTTAAAACTGAGGGAAATTGAAAAAAATTGGCCCATGTTGCAGATTTGGAGCTTGATGGCTTCCCGTAAGGCAGGAGGCGACAGGCACAATCCATCATTCATAACTGACTGAAGGAGGGGGGGAAAGGAGCGAAACGACAACAAACAGACTGTTTAAGACAGAAATGGCACCATGGCAACCGATTGCTATCTAATTGCAATGTGCCGCCGTTTTGCGTGTAGCTACCGTAACCACTGGCAACCGTAGCAAGAGAGAGACAACATTAGAGAAGATGAGAGAGATCGTTTGAGGGGCGGTCAAAGCAAGAAGAAGGGAGAGAAAAAACAAAAAAGGACATTCAAAACGAAAAAGAGAGACCGTTAAAGGAAGGCACAGAAGTCAGAAAAAGCCCTCAATATGAATCTTCAAACGGTGTAAACACTTCTCAGTATGGAGAAGCATTCTGGAAATGCCGTCATGTTGCCCGACTAGACGCAGTTAACCATTCGTCTCGCCGCAACTGTACCTCCGCAGCTACCTCTTATACTTAAAAAGCCCCGCCGACCTGAAATGCACACACACACACACACACACACACACACACACACACACACACACACACACACACACACACACACACACACACACACACACACACACACACCAGTCTGAACACGCCGCAGTATTGTTGCCCTCACAAGTACAGGTTTGGAGAACGGTGAGAGGTTAGAGGGAAGGAGAGAAGTCAGAGTCCCCGCAGGGCCTGAGTGATGAAGACAAACAGCTGACAGGCTCCTCTGCATCAGCTGGATTTCCCGCTCCTCTCCTCCTTTTCTCTGCATTTGTTTTGCAGCTGGTTGCTGAGGTGGCACTATTAAGTTGCATCACTTAATGCAATTCAAGCAATACAAAAATATATCTGGATTTTGTTAAAAAATTCAATCGAAATGTTTAAATGAACACAACAACACACTTGAAATCTCATTTTAAAGACAGACATAATTGGGTGTTGTTTGCTGCAGCCATTATATTAAAGGCAGTTTTCAGTTTTCACTTATATATATTTTTTATTTCATTTCTTTATTGATTTTCACTCCAACTCTCTTTCTAGGATCATTGCTATACATCCACAATAAAACGTTTGTACGTATGTGAATAGATATGGATGTATGGTAGTATATATACACTATACTTGTATGTCGGATATGTGTGTGTGTGTATGTATGTATCTCTAGTTATATTATTCAGTTTGCTTCAGGCCCCCCCAGCATTTTCTCATTGTCTGTGCCTTGCTTTGTAAAACAATCCTTATGTCCGTATAGGAGACAATGTTTTTGTTTTCAGCTGTCGTGTTTCATGTTTGACTTAAGTCTCCAATCCATTGTCTCCTCTTTTACGTTTATTTATTGTTTTATTTGTGTTCCATCAGGCTGGCGGCTCCCAGGTGATCTTCACCAACCCTCTGGAGATTGTAAAGATCCGTCTGCAGGTGGCAGGAGAGATCACCACGGGGCCGAGGGTCAGCGCCCTGTCCGTCATCAGAGACCTCGGCTTCTTTGGACTTTACAAGGTGAGAAACATGGCAGGGGTCAGAGGTGCACATGTCTGAGCCACAAGTCGTTCTTCGAGTAGCTTTTTCCACCCCTGCTACAGTATGTTGATGTTATCTGCTTGTATTTTACCAGAATATGCAGAGTTTTAACATGCAAATGCAATTCAACTGCTATTAAATATAAAATGAAGAGATATGTAAAGTGCAAATGAAAGGGCCGTTTTTATACAACTTTTCTGAAAGTATAAATATCTGTATTTTACACAAGAAATTAGACTTTTCATACTTTGTTTTGTACTTATTTGTAATGTAATCTGTAGAATGAAGAGCAGCATAATCCCTGAAGGCAGCTAACTTGAAATGCTACAGACTACATACTGGGAAAGTTATACCTGAAGTATTTTGTTCAGTAGTTCTATTTTGCTGGAGTCACAGTAGGATCAATAAGTGCTGTTACATATTTCTGTGAATTTAGAAATGCACAAAAACAACGTTTCCTCCGCTCCTCTCCAAGGAAAAATTCCCCGTCATAACTTTAACCTTCCATGATGGTTTCATGCCAATCTGTCCTCCTGCATTAAAACCCACAAAAACAATATTTAATTTAGTCTCTTAATTACCAATATATGTAAGCATGTACCTCATTTATTTCAGAATACAACTGTTAGGGTATTCATTTTGAAAAGCAATCAATAGGCTGAAGAGATGTACCCGTCTGGCCAATACAACATATGGTTATGAGGTTATTAGACATTGTTTTCTTTGATGTAATAGACATAACTTCAAATTGTAACTCTCATTTATCTTTAATGGAGTCGTGCAGGAAGCCCAGAGCCATGTTTCCTGGATCACAGTTAGATTTGTTGTGACTAGATTAATTAGACGTCCAGTATCCATTCTATTGTATTTTCATCAGCCTCACAATTTCACAGCAATCCATTATTTCTCATTACTGTTATGACTAAATCATATGTGATATTGCTAGGAACTCTAACACAATTATACGTTACTTCCCCCCACATCAGCCACAATTTAAATCAACAATTCCATGTGGTCTTCTGTTCAAGAACAAGAAAAGACACCATTTATGCTAAAAGCTGTATTTAACCTTAATTGCCATAATTGATATTTTTCAATGGCACAGGGTTTAAAATTACAGTGCACTGTTTGACCTTATTAGAGTTTTATGATATTATGCACCCAACGTAAGGCAAGCATGAAAGATTGTAGTTCATAAGGTGCTAATATAAAAATGATTTTGCGTCGGTGTGTTTTAAAGACTATTTTCTGCATTTTATAATTATGATTCTTATAATAATCATGACTTCTAACAGCTGTAAGGTACACAGACACTTAGTGGATTTGTATGCTTCCAGTTGGACATAAGAGCTATGGGAATCAATGAATGAGCTGTGGCTAATGCTAACATTAGTAGTTTAACTAGAGAGACAAGGACATTAGCCCTGAGGGTAAAGCAGAGCATGTCTAATTAAATTAGACAAATAAGTCCTAATGGAGCACTGCAGGGGACGTTCCTCTTTAACTGTAAACACAATCAACTGTGAAAATGTCAATCTCATACCTGTGGTTGTATTCATTTGCAAGTAAGATGATGGCATGTGTTTTGTCAAAAAAGTAGTAAACTATTTTTCAATAAAGATCTAGCCTTCCTAGGAAAGGACAAGTTTACCTAGTCTGGTAATTATTATCTTCACTGTCAATTTCAACAAGGCTGCAACTCAGACCCGGCACCAGAACAAATCTACAGAGAGGGCATATGATTTTCATGGGAGGGCACACAAAACCGCCATGTGCTGCGGCCAGTGGCGGCGCCAGAGATTTTATTTTAGGGGTGCTGTGGGGGACGTTTCATAGAGGGTGCTCAAACATTTAGGGTTTCCCATTAAGGTACCGGGCGCTACAGTGGAATTTTCTACTGCAACAATCCCCACGCACATACACAGTGTACCTGCGACTGTTACAATGAAGGCTCGATTATCAGCTCACGGCATATAGGTGTAAGCAGGGTAAAGTGCTATTTTTTATAAGTGGGGGGCGGACTTCACCTCTTCTAGGGGGGTCCGAGGGCATGCTCCCCTGGGAAGATTTATTTTTTAATATTGAAGTTAAAAGCATCAATCTGGTGCACTTTGAGAGCAACATGAAGAGATCTATGGATACTTCTCTCAACACCCAGATGAAACAGAACTGTAAACAGATTTTCTTTTTCTTTATGGATATTTTACAAATCACTCCCCTTTCAAAACTGTATTCTATTCTACCTATTTTGCAAATGTATTATCTTTTCAATTTACACACGGCATCTATTGCACGTCTGTCCGTCCTGGGAGAGGGATCCCTCCTCTGTTGCTCTCCCTGAGATTTTTCCCTTTAAACTGAAAGGTTTCTCTGGAAGTTTTTCCTTGTACGATGTGAGGGTCTAAGGACAGAGGGTGTCGTATTGTCATACTGATATTCTGTACAAACTGTGTAGTCCACTGAGACAAATGTAACTTTTGTGATATTGGGCTATATAAATAAACATTGATTGATTGATTGATATTCTTGTTTTACTGTCATATAGTATTTCATACCTGTTTTTCATCTGATATCACATACATCGTAGCCTGTCCCTCCCACGGCGCCGGGTCTGCTGCAACTATATTATTTTCTTTAGCGATTCCTTTTTGGATTAATTTATATTAATAGTCGTTATAGAAAATGTCAGAAAATATTGAAAATGTCAAACCTACTTCCTGAAAGACAAAGGTGATGTCTTTAAATGTCTTGTTTTGTCTTAAAGCCAAAGATATTCAGTTTAATATAATGTCTCTTTTTTTCTCTCTGCTGATGTGACCACCTGTTAACTCACAACTTCCACGTAAACCTTTAACTTATTTTAACAAGGCAGTAACGCAGTGCGGAGCCTCCTCTTGTCTCCGTCTACCTGCCTCTTGTTCCTGTGTTTGTGTGCAAGTGCTCTCCCTCCCTGTATATTTATGACTACAGTATGTTGAAGTGTTTGCGTGTCCACAAAGCTACTGTCTCCATTCAACTGTCTGTGAGAATGCTGCAGTGTGTGCATGCTTGTGCACATGCTTTATTGTGTTGGTCTCCTTGTCCATGCATAGGGAGGAGACAAAGTATGTTGAGAAAGCAGTAACGGTGTTGGCGGCCGTGGTGGTGGTGGAGGGGGGAGGGGGAGGCGGGGTGGAGACGAGCTTCAGCCTGCAAGCCCCAGACGGGCTGGCTCCGGAGGGGCTGCACCCAGGCACAGAGCTGCCTTTGTCAGGGTAATTATCCTGACGCTCACCCTGCGCTGATGGAGCTACTGGTTGGTACTGGAGGTGGCTAACGCACTAGCGCCACCACTCATCACTGGGGGAAAGCTGTCAGTGTAGGAACATCAACTCATGTTTATGCACGTATTGTATCTATGGAGCATTTTGCATTTGCTTACTATACTAAATAATTTAACTTCATCTGTGTCGTAGAAATCAACAGAGGTGGAAGAAGTACTCAGATCTTGTACTTAGGTCAAAGTAGAAGTACCAGAGTGTAGGAAAGTCCTGTAATCAAAATGTCACGTAAGTTGAAGTACAAAAGTATAAGCATCAAAACATAATTGCAATGGAGTAGAATGACAAAGTAGCAAAGATTGAAATACTCAAGTAAAGAACAAGTCTCTCAAAATTGTTCTTGAGTACAGTACTTAAGAACAATCTTGAAATGAAATGTACTTAGTTACTTTACACCACTGGGAATCAATACACACTCTCAGCTGCCGCCGCTCTGCCAAGTGTATCACCCAACAACATCACCCTGGTATGAAAGTTTTACTCCCAGCCCCTGTGACGCTGCTTGTCTGTCCTGCCTCGATAGAATCTCACAGCTTTCAGCAGCCAACAAGAGGGACAGACAGACAAGAAGTGCCTGAGAAAAGAAAGGGAAAGAGATAGCCCAGGTATCTGCCAATCCTCCCTCTGTGTGTGTGTGTGTGTGTGTGTGTGTGTGTGTGTGTGTGTGTGTGTGTGTGTGTGTGTGTGTGTGTGTGTGTGTGTGTGTGTGTGTGTGTGTGTGTGTGTGTGTGTGTGTGTGTGTGTGTGTGTGTGTGTGTGTGTGTGTGTGTGTGGTGTGTGTAGTGTGTGTGTGTGTGTGTGTGTGTGTGTGTGTGTGTGTGTGTGTGTGTGTGTGTGTGTGTGTGTGTGTGTGTGTGTGTGTGTGTGTGTGGGAAACAAAGGATTATCCCATAGGAGTTAAATGAAGCCTGTCCTAAACAGGGACACCCCCGCCCGGCGCTTTAACTCCTTCTGTTGACTGTAACTGCTGTATCAAGACGCTGGCAGCGGGCCAACAGGCTTGAAATACAGCAGGAAAACTCAATAGGCCTGATGATATACTGTAGTGTGTTTACAGTGGCAGACACGGAGTCATCTTCGTCAGCCAGTCTGTCTTTCTCTGCGCTTTTCTTTTCTGTCAGCCCTTGCTTCTGGAGCCTCCCTCACCTGCTGCTCACGACACAGATCGTTTGCATATGGAGAGACATGATGTGTTTGACATGTTGTGGTCGGCACTTCACTCTGACCTAAGAGCTTCGGGAGTCTTTTGGAAGAAATTTCTTGGCAGTAAACATCAGTTGAGGCTTTAATATCTACATCTTAAATATTGTGGCTTATAAAAAAATCAATCCATCTTCAGAGACCAGAGCGCCTTTACTCTGTCTCTGCTCTACTTACTAAAGGTTTAACTCTTTATATACATGACCTAACATCTCGCTTTTCCCCTGTGTGTCTTGCTCTAGGGTTCAAAGGCTTGTTTCCTGCGAGACATCCCATTCTCAGCCATCTACTTCCCCTGCTACGCCCACCTTAAGGCTCACTTCTCTGAGGAGGACGGCAGGATAGGGCCGGCCAAGATGCTCCTGGCTGGAGCGCTGGCAGGTAAAATACTTCAGCCTGTTATTCTGAACAGAAAAATTGAGAAGTAGGATAATAATTTCAATTTTTATAGCGCCTTTCACGAAACCCAAGGACGCTTTACAATGGGAAACAAAACAAAACAACAAAGTAATAATAATCATACGGATACACAGGTTGAAAAAAAAACTAGGATGAAGTTAAAAACCTTCCAGACGCAGGGAGCTCCACTCATCGTTGGCAAAAGTCTGCCGAAAGACACAAAATGACAGATCTCCACAAATGTCATTGCACATACCACACACATATTAACGGTACAAAGCAGGTGGAAAATGTGCAAAGTTTCCCTTTAAACAATACTAATTATAAGATCATTCTTACAATCACACAATCAAAATCAAACCATCGATGAGCCCTTTCACATACAAATAGCCACGTAAATATACAAACATTGTTTATACTAGCGTTAAAATGTAATCTAATGCATTGTGATCATCCGTAATGAGCCGTTGTGAAAAAGCCTAATCTAGACCCCCAATAGAAAAATTCAATAAAATCTCAACCTTTGTAATTCAGTCTGTTAATATCTGCATTACTGCAAACATCTCGAGACATAACTCTCAGGGTTTATGAATCTCATGATGCCTGGGGACATAATTAACAATCTTATGTTGCATTTTAAAGGTGTAGCAATTTTCACTACCTGAAAAAACATCATTCTATCTTGAGTGTCTTGACATTTTTGCCAAATCATCAACACGTCCCCCTGGTTCAATGAGCAGAGCACTAAAGCTTATAACAATTCTTGGTGGGGTCCAGTTTTTAGTCTTTTAACAGAGTGTGAGAGCAGGTCTCACTCGGCCCTCGCCTCAGACCAGTTCAGTTTGGAGCCAGCAGACGGTAGCTGCTAATTAGAGCGCTGCGCTGCGCTGCGCTGGGGACGGGGTTTGGAGCTCTGCAGCGGGGACGCGCCTCAGATTCCAACACGGCTCACAGGGAAGCGTTCCAATCCTAATACACTGTACATGCACATACACAGATGTTTGTGCATACTTTATGTGTGTTCTCCCAGCAGGAATGCATACAGTCCAGTCTGTAGGTTATCTGTCATAACACTGAGCAAAGAATGCTCGATTTACCGATAAAGTAAACACTCTTAACAGACCAGCACTCCCCTGCGAGTTAAAAGGCTTCGGAACATTTGCATAAAATACTTATTTGCGTTGAATCCTCGGAGATGTGTCAGCAGCACTCTCTTTTCGACGCAGAGGCACAGCACAACATGGAAAAATCATAAATCCTGCCTCCCTCCTCCATTTTTACTCCGGTCTCTCACCACAGGACTGGCAGCCACGGCCCACAGACTCCGAGCTGAAACCAGCCTCATGATTTCTTTTCTTTCTTTCGTTACTTCCACACATTTATCATCCCTCTTTCACATGTATTTATCAGCGGTTACAGCATTCTGGCAATTAGTGTTTTACAGTCGGCACAGGAAATTGAATTACACGCTCAGTTTGCACAGCATTATTTAGCTAGGCATTACTCTGGTCTGTGAAGAGGGACTTCTCTAACTCATGTGAAATCTGTATGTGAGAGAGTTATGGAGGGAATGTGTGGTCTTATTCACTGTGAGCAGTATACAGTACATGTTCAGTCTTTAGTCATGTAAAGTACCATCAACAACAATGGGTAATCATGTATTTGCTAAGTTACTTGGTTCCTCGTTCTTAAATCTGAATGTTTTGCTTTTTTTTTGTTTCAGATCAATGTTAAAGGTACCCTGTAGAGTTTTGACCACTAGTCTCACAGCCATAATGTGTTTTTTTGTTGTTGTAATTTTACAGCTGTGTTTGCATCGGCCACAAACAAATAATATCAATACAAAAGCAACCAATGATTCAATCTCTGCCATGGCTTTCATGGAGTAACCTTTGACAAATCAGACTTCTATCTCGCTATTTTTTCCTGAAGGTTGTTCCCTTATTTTGGAGTTATTTCTAATCTAATTCGAGAAAAAGTTCTGGTTTATAGTGTGCAGACTTTAAAGCCCCTTCAGGTAAATGAGGGGTATAGGGTATATAATTATTCCCTATTCATATTCACGATACAACCCACTGTTTTAAGACACAACAATACGTCATCTGTAATGAAAAGAACAGTTTTAGTGCTGTACACTGGTGAAACACCTTTTAAAGGCTAAATGAAGTGGTACAAACACAATATCCTATTGCTACATAAAAAAAGTGCATAATTGATATTATATGACATCCCACTGTGCCATTATTCTGCAAGTATTTGAACATATTCTCTTTTGGAAAGTGGGAGTTTCTACATCAGGTCTAATTTAGTTCCCTTGTTCTTAAACTTTTTTCTACATGAACTATTCTTCAACAAGTTTCCACACAGGAAGCTTCCTCTCCTTTCCTCTTATGTCTTCCTCCTTCCTCTCTCCTCCTCTTTCCTTCCTCTACTTTCCTTTCTTCCTCTTCCTCCTCTTGCTTCTCCTCTCCTATCCTTCTGTCTAGTGTCCTTAACTCTCCTCTTCCCTCTCCTTTCTCCTTTTCTCGTTTCGTCGTTTTCTCTTCTTTCCTTCTCTTTGCTTTCCTTTTCCTTTACTTCCTACCCCTCTTTCCTCTCATCTACTTCTCTCCTCCTCCTTCCTCTCATCTCCTTCTTTCTCCTTCTCTCTCCTTTCCTCTTCCTCCTCCTCTCCTCCGCTCATCTCCTTCTTTCTCCTTCTCTCTCCTTTCCTCTTCCTCCTCCTCTCCTCCGCTCAGTTCAGCGCAGGTGGTCAGTCTCCCCCGGGTGCCGGTCTGCTACCTAATGCTGAGTTGATTAGGCTTTCTGAATAGCTCGTTTGGCCGCTACAAAAACCAAGAAGTCAGAATAAATCGTCAAGAGGGCAGTTGATGGTAATGACCGAGCCATCAATGATTGAGCCCATTCATGGCTGAAGTGGCTGGAGTGGGGGCTCCGCAGACCCTCCCTCCAGTCAGCCAGTCACTCTCAGCCCAGTGTGCATTGCTCTCATTACCGTACATTGTCTGGCCCTGTTCAAACGGCTGTAAGAAAGTGGGAGAGGGAGGAAAGGAAGGAAAAAAGTAGAGATTAAATAATGGCCTCGCTGGTGGTATGGATTAGTTGATGATGAAGTGAAAGGAACCGGCCCCTACTTGAGTACAGTGTACGTATGCGGCAAGATGGTCAAGATCCAAGATGAACAAAGAGTGCTGAAACCACTCTATCAGATGTAGTTAGGATGATATGCAAGGCTTCATTCGATCTCTGATGGCTGCTTCTGCAAATCATCTCATTTGTTTGGGCTTGATTTTAAAATGTCTGCTCTATTTAGAGTCAAACACATCGTAATGTTTGAGAAGGAAAAGCATCACAAGACTAAACGGCTCTCCCTCTCCTCTCCACAGGCATGCCGGCGGCCTCCTTGGTGACCCCGGCTGACGTGATCAAGACACGGCTGCAGGTGGCGGCGCGGGCCGGGCAGACCACCTACAGCGGCCTGGTGGACTGCTTCTGGAAGATTCTCCGAGAGGAGGGACCCCGGGCCTTCTGGAAAGGAGCTGGAGGTAATGTTCGCTGAGGCCAATGTCTAATCTTAAACTGACAGTTTTACTTTTGTCCCGGGTTTCACCTCTCAGGCTACTGGAGTTTGGCCTGCTTTATTTATTTATTAGCCTGTTACTTAAAGATGTTTTTTCAGATAACATTATGTCATTTCAAGGCACAGGATACATTTTCTTCTGTTTGTAATGTAATGGGCCACATGTGTTGGAATGACACTGAAATAAAAAACATTACGAATCAATTTAAATAAACACATGTCTTCTCCTTCCTGCAGCTCGTGTGTTCAGATCCTCTCCTCAGTTTGGAGTGACCTTGGTGACCTATGAACTCCTTCAGCGCTGGTTCTATGTTGACTTTGGAGGACAGTAAGTCTCTCTCACAGCTTCCATATATCTTCCTGCCTTGCCTAAAAAAATAATATTACATCTTCATCCTCCTATAAAACACCATCTGCTTCCAGAACAATGGGGTTAATTTGAACACACAGTAGCTGCGCTCGGTGCGTGTCCTCCCTCCTCCACCACAGAGAAAGAAATGTCCTCGAGATCCAAAAATAATTTCCGAGCACATTTGCTCACAGACTGAAGCTCTCACTCAGCGCTCTGGATGTGACAATTTTCTCAGACTGGAGAGCGTGTGATCAGGCAGGCAGCGCCCACATGTACTTTCCCCTCTTCTAGGATTAAGATGAGCTCGTTTTGCTTCTTAAAATAAGTCTCTCTGGGATAATTAACTCATTTCCTAAAGTTAAAAAGGTCCAGTGGGGAGAGAGGTGGTGAACCTCTCGGAATGAGAAAGCTCTTCTTTTAATGGACAGCTGTGCGGCACATGCGTGTATGACAGTGTGTTGCTTCTTCATGTAGCTGAAGACTCGCAGTGAAACAAAATCATGTGCAGATCCGAGGAGGGTTTGGTTTGGGGAAGTTGATCTGTGCTGCTTTGCTGTCCGTGTTGGCAGCCATTCACAAAGCTCTCTGTGAAATCAGCGAGGGATTTGATCTGTTCCGCTTTGGATTTTCTATTAACATGTTTATTTCTGTGGTGAACAGTGCTGAATATGATAATATTAATTCAAGATTTAAAAGGAAAATAAAACGCTCACTTTCCCCCGTGTTTGGTAAAACATCTTGCACTGTTTGTTGTTTCCCCTCTAACTCCACCACACCTCACCTTTTCTCTCTCCCTGTGCCTCTGGCGTCCTCCCCCGTCTCTCTCTCTCTCTCCCCACCACAGAAAGCCGGCTGGCTCCGAGCCCACCCCCAAGTCTCGGATCAGCCTCCCGGCGCCCAACCCCGACCACATCGGAGGCTTCAGGTTGGCCGTGGCCACGTTCGCTGGCATCGAGAACAAGTTTGGGCTCCATCTCCCACGCTACACGGTGGCCCCCCCCGCTGTGAGCGACCCCTGAACCTCCACTGGTAGAGAGTTATTGCAAGAGGGGGCTTGAATGTAGTATTTTATTTTATTCCTATTATCATATATTAGTCTATTTGCATCCACGTGGATTATTGGAGCGATTATCAGACACTCAAAGAAAACTCTTTGTCGGACTAGTGCAGTGTTTGTTTTAATCTTGATTGACATTGTAGTTTTATTACGCGGTTTGTTTTCATACAGTTCCACTGGCTCAGTATAACGCACAGGCAGAAGTTTAAAAACACTTCCACTGCTTTGATTTTGGGGAATATTTGATAAAAAACGACTTTTTGTTGCTTTAAAACCAAAAAAGACCATTAATGTAGCACCTTTGTATATAAGAGACATCTATTTTAATATGTATAGTTCTATTTTTATCTTTCAATTGTAATATATATATGTATCTACAAGATTAGGGACCACTAAGTTATTGAATGTAAATTAGCAGTATCATTCTGAATGTACACAATGTTTACTTTCAGAGCTAAATGTATGCAGATGTGTGAATATCTGAGAGACAGCTGGCAGCGACTGCAGGTCTGTAGTGTGTCACGACTGAGTATTTAAACGTGTACAGTCCTGAGAATGTAGGAGTTACATGTGGTGAGTAATAACCGTGCCTTACTGTATGGCAGCAACATGTGTACCGAGAGTAAAGAGGATCGTATATTAGTAAACTGAGTGCTGGAGTTTTTATTTTCACTCCCAGATGAACGCTGTTAAGAAAAGGCAAGACAACAGTACATCAGCTTTAATAGTAAACATAACATGTTTTAACAGCCAGCACACTGCATTACAATATACCTCTTGATAATGAACAGTTCATTAAAGAATATACAGCTGTTGCTCGGGAACAAAGTGCCGATACCAGACGTGACTCAGTTTCTGACGCAAAGCAACCACATGTGGAAACGTCACCATGACAACTCCATGTTTATGCTTTCCGGAATATTTCAGGAATGTGTCGCATGCATGCGTTATACAGAGAAATCAACACAACATAAAGTAAACGTGATATTTTGTAAACAATACATGACTAGTCTATGGACCCTGCTTTGATTTTACAGTAGTGCAAAGCTTTGTCACAGTACACTTATCTTAAGGCTATAAGACTGCCAATGTTTATACTGTAGGCTCACAGGGTGCAAGCAACAAATCACCTTAAGTCAGTAAGGAAATAAATAAGGGCGGACAAGTAGAAGAGGTCAACAGTTAAACCATTTCAAATGCAAGAAATCCATGAAGGAAACAGCGGCCTTGTTCGGACCAAACAGCAACATGTACATACTGTAAATAAAACAACTGATTGAGACACACCACATGCTACAGTGACACCGATAAAGCTCACAGAGGCGGCACTACGAAGTACCTTTGAGAGAACCAGGCTTTCTTTACGTTAGCTGGCTCAACAAAACCCTAGTCAGAAAAGATGGTTATCAACAGTCTTTGTTAACCCAGGTTTTCTTCATCAGGTTCTGTGAGCGTTCCTATACAGCCGGATGTTTAGTGCTTCATTTGAGTCCTATATCCACACAGAGGGGATCATCTCCTGCTGCCTGCTTCTGAGAAGAGGAGCAGTTCTCTGAGTTAGGGAGAAGATTTGCTCATAATCTGCAAATAAGGCAAAAGCGCAATGATGGCAGAATACCCTAATTGTGTGAATTTGTAAGTTAATATATTAATTTGTACCACTCATTGTCATTGCACTCTTAATGCAAATGGTGACAACTGAACACGCTATAAAACGGGATGCAACTGACCTTATACTTAAGTATAATATTTGGAAGTTTTTGTCCAATTTGAATGACTTTTATTGATTGAAAGTTAACTCTGATAACTACTAATAAACTAAACCATTTCTGAAAGTAGACTTTAGGGGGCAGCTTTAGCAGACCACACTGTTGATGCTGTTACCCTAAAGCTTGAGTGACTGGTGTAATTTACCACACATAGGTATTCTATGAAGAATTATACTGCATTCATATGCAAGTAAACATCATATTGATTCATATTTAAGTTAAATCAAAATGTATGCTACCTGCAGCTTTAAAGGAGGCTTATTTAAGTTTTCCAGAGATCACTACAACCAAGCAGAATTTCTTACACAGTATTGTAGCTCCGATTTTCCGCATCACTAACTGTGTATACCAACAATACATGTAGCTTCCACGCTAATTCCTAAGCTCAGTTCAGTGGCGTTCCTATAGACGGCCCAACACATTTACATTTATAATGTATTCCCTTGCTGAGATTCTATATATCGCTCATAGAGAATATCTGTAGGAAAGGCCAGCACGTCTAAAAACAATCCCTCCAAATTCTGGCACCTAGGTTTACAGAATTTGGCAGGAATGGTACGGCTATTTTATAAGCAGTTGATAAGGGAAATGGTGGTGCTTTTTATGATGGATTTCCATCCAAAGCACAACCTGCTCTGGAAGAGGTTAAAATACCATGGCGAGCTTAGCCAGGTTAAATGGGAGCCACCTTTGTGACTCTGGCTTAAGGCCGCACACACCTCTCTAACCCAATCATCTGGCTCCGTAGTGCTCCCTCTGCTCTCTGATCCACCCTCATTGGTCTGGAGGCCTGCTCTATGAATCCAGCTCCATAGGCCCCTCCTCCTCGCCGTCCGCCCGGTTGGCACGGATCTCCATCAGCGTCCGAGCGAAGCGCGACCAATCATCGGTGTGAGTCACTGACAGCTGAGGGAGGAACAGGAAACATGGCATTAAGTGCTGGCTTCATCTGCACGCTGTGTTATGACTTGTTACGATACCAGAGAATCATCTCCAAGGATGAATGACACATTAGAGGTTTCTCAATACTCAAATTTCCCCTCCTCGACTCCTCGGTTCTCCGGTAGTGACCCGGAACTGAATTTCAGCGCGCCATGTTGAAGGACATCTCATTTCTCTAAATGCACTTCGTGGACCGAGCATCGAGCGTCGAGGAGGCTCTCTGGAGGAGCTCTAACCGAGGATACACTGATGGTTCCTCCACGGCTCCTCCACGGATGCATTTCCGGGAACGGTGGAGGCGTGACGCACGGCCGGACTTATCTCAGCCAATGACAGCTCTGCATGCATCCCTTGGATATTATATTAGTAACTGCTTTCATCGCAACGCGATGTTTACAGTGAGAACAGCTGTGAGGTCCGTGTAGAAAGCAGAGCAGTGTGTATAATATATATCACTCAGTATAACAGGCCTACTCTCTTTATTTGCAAACAAAGAGTCGATATTTTTCTAAGACCATTTAGTGCTTCACATAATAAAATACACAACGGCTGTAGCCTGATTATGCTTTAGGAGCAGTAGGTGTGTGTGGTACAGTGTGTAGGTGTGTGTGTGTGGTACAGTGCGTAGATGCGGCGGACAGACGGGTCTCAGTTGGTTTGGTGTCCTATGCTTACTTTTAATACCGTAATTTCAATTCCCCATTTCAGTGACCAGAGAGAGGGGGGGGGGGATATATTCAGTCTCTGATTGTTACGTTATTATGCGAGTGCTCTCATACTTGTTTGATTCTGAAATTGTATATATTTATATAAATATATGTGTGTGTATATGTCCGCATCTGTAGCCTGTTATTGTCTCATTATACCGCACTGTCAATGAATCAAAGTAAATATATAAGTCATCATGAACACATCTGTCCATCAGACAGAGAGAGGGCTGCTGTGCCTCCTGTCATCATTAATGGACGTCTCTTTAAAATGACCGCTCAGAGGAGAGGAGTTCTCATTTCTCTAACCGCCTGCTGCTTCCACTCCTCTCTCCTCGGTTCCCCTCCTCAGTCCTCCGCTCGCATCTCCTGTGGGCGGCACCAAGTCTCGAGGAGGGGAGTCGGGGATAGTAGTCGAGGAGGGGAAATTTGAGTATTGAGAAACCTCTATTGATTTTCATTCAAGACAAGTTTATTCTTGATGACAAGGCTGTGTTTTGACCGATCTTAGGGTATAGACGAGGTCATGTCCCTTCGTTGCATCCTTATTTCATTTGAAACTCTAATAATTTGATGTTAAATGCAATCATGGTACCAATAACACATTCTATGACTTCCTGTTAGAGCCTTAATCTTTTGTTGGCTCCCTTAATTGTCTTTACATCCTTTGAGAAAAAGACCCAGCATCCCTATATCATTGGGGACAAAGCGTTTCAGTAAGAATAATCCTGTCAATCCATCAAATAGTTGTTATATTTCTGCATGTCTGAAATGCTATAAGAGGCAGTAACCATGGCGCTGATACAGGATGTCAAACTGTTCTCTAAGTGTGGAGCTGCAGTCCGACCCTGTGGGAGTCGGAGTCGGAGTGGGGGGGGGGGGGGGGGGGACAGGAGCCACGGCCGCCACCCAGGCTGTCTGTAACCGCTCTGCATGGCCAGGCTGTAATTAAACAGGAACCAGGAGGAGGGAGGCGGCCATTTTGAACCCCCCCACAGAGCCGGGCCGGCAGCAGCAGGGGCTCCGGCTGAACACTGAGTATATGGAACCTGAGTGACTTCAGTTTGGAGAAATGTAAGACTGCTAAGTGTCAAAGAAACTGAGATTTAGTGTTTTTCAGGCTTTAAAAAATGACCTTTTCATCGGATGAAGCAACATGAGACACTGACTATGGCAACCATCCAACATACTTATAAGGGCTTTAACTTAACTTTATTGTCATTTAGATAGATCTGAAGGTTATTTCCTAGATTAAAGGACATATCGCTTCTTCTATAATAGACCCCTGGGGACAATAAATCTAATCTATCAAATGTCAGAAAATATTGAAAAATGTCTATCCCAGTTTCTCCAAAACGGGATTCACCATTTGTGTCAGTCAAAAACCAAAAGGTATTCAGTTGAATATGACGAGCTCAGAGAAAATCTTGGAAACGTCCGTATTTGAGAAGTTGCAAACAGCATTTTCTGCCCTTTTTTTCATGTAAAAAACTTGTATCAAAATAGTTTGTGATCATTTGTCGATAGATGAGTCTTGTTATTGTTGTAGCTCCAACACAGACTAACATAAGTAGAATCCTTATCCTTGCTGATTAACCACCTAAAACTAGTTTGTAAGAAATAAAATAATACTAAAGTAAACACATTTGCATATAAACCTTACTGCTGTCACTTTTTCCCCAGTTTTAGCTATTTGGGGAGTTTACAGTGAAGTGAATACTCCCATCATCCACCACACACACACACTCCTCTGTGGAGTCATAAAACCCCTCTCCTTTTTATTGATGACTCTTCGTTACCATTAACCCAGCTCAGCCGAACCTCTCAACTCACCACACAACAAAAAGATGCTAAATTTAGCCCCGTGGCTAGGCTAACGCAGCCTCACATGGGGATCCTAACCAGATCCCTCCAACCATGAGAGAACATGCAGGCTCGGGTGGGGGGGCTGGCTGCTTTGTGGTGATGGCAAAGTCACGTGGAGGACGTTTTACAGGGAGGAGGAAGAATCAAACGCTCACAGTCATGGCAAAACTGACAGTTGGGTAAACATACAGAGCTGAGGGACCTCAAATGATCAGTGGTGGTTTTTACAGAGAGAAAATGAACCTATTTCTGCTCTTATGTCTTTCGCCAAAGTTAGAGAACCAAATATACATGAAACGAGACTACAGTATGTACTGAGCAAATGCAAAACTGTAAAATCATGACTCAGTTAAAATAACATACACAATCGGACTATTTGTAGCTGTTTTTCCCACCACGTGACAGTTTACTTTGGTAGAATCAGGAGTGAGGTATTACTTTAGCTCCAGCAGTCACTCAAGGTCAGGCTCTGACATTTCTTAATAAATCTACAACTCAATTACAACAGTAATAATACGTGTCGGTCATTGTAGTGAACCCAAGCTTTAGGCACCTAGGCTGTAATTACATCTTGGATCGTTTTTTAATTAAACTTGCCACCAGCTCCAGGCATCACAGCACTTTGGTAAAAACAGGAGTGTTCACTCTGCCCTTGTTTTCGGGTACAAAAATGATTCTGATCTACAATATATTGTTTGATGTGATTCATACTGTTTAAACGATTAATACATGTACCTCGCCAGTATCATAGATCCAGACCCTGCCCTCTGAGTCGCCCACAGCCACCTCCTTCCCCCCCGACGACCAGCGCACTCTGTTCAGGGCTGAAGCGCCCTCAATGGTCACACTGGCAGTGGGGACCTGGAGGACAAGAAATTCAGTTTTTGTATCAATATTGTAAACATCTTATATTCTACATACAGATCACATTTCAATAATGAATCTGTAATCAGATTACACATCTGATTTGTCCCATGTAAACTGGGATGCATAAAACTTTCTATGCTACGATATTTGTTATATATATTATGTCTTTAATGACACTTATTTTCAACATTGTATAAGATATATTTGTAATGGCATTCTGAACTATACTTTGATTGTTAAAAACATTTTGTGGGATACTGCCTTTTGGAATACTTTTTATGATTTTTTGTATCACATCAAATACCATGAGGTTTGTACTTTGATTATCATCTGAATCTCTTTAAATGAAACTGTACTTTCATTTTTAATTATGCTTTTTATGACATATACTTTAACTTTTATTAAAACATTATATTGAAACAAAGAAGTGGAAAGACCCATTAGAACCTTATCCTGTTTAGTAGTGAGAGGACTAGAGAACATTATGCACCTTGGACATAAATAAAGATGCTATGTGAGCCTCTAATAAGGCACATAAACATTTATAAAACCCTACAACACCCTCCTCCTCCACGCTGCCGGCTGCAGACAGGTGTTGAAACATTGTTTACTTGGTCACAGCTGCTGTTAAACACTTAATTGTCCTCATTGATTAATGTAGCCAATGAAATGTGAGAGATTGTATTTGTCAGTTACCAACAACAAGAACGAGTCCTTATTTATTTGAATGTAATGACCCTAATTGCAGTTAAAGCTATTCCTCTTAATGTTTATTGGGAAATGGGGGCATTACGCCATTATAGTCTAATTTACAGAACACGTTTACTACATTGAAAGCACAACTTTGTCCAAACACTCAGGAGGTTTTACAAACATCGCTGTCACATTTACAACTTCTCCTTCAAATGTGGACACACACAGAGCTATTTACTGTATATAACTGCGCTGGTGTTTGCTGTTGTGGGCGAGCGGCTGCTCTTTTTGATAAACAGTCGTGCTCGTGTTGCACCTTTAAAAACCTAAAACCATCTGTTTCCATAAACTGTTCCTGACGTGCGGCAGGCGAGTCTGACACATGTCACCAGTGGAGACAGAGGCCTTGGCATCACGTCGCCTCACACACCGAGCTCCTGCGTATTTAAAGCAGCGCTAACCACAGACTGACTGCCATTAGCCTGCTAGCTTCCACCGCTGCGCCCGAGTGGATCTGAACTGAGCGCTTTAAATTGGCTGTGTACGTCTGTGTGCTGGAAATGAGAACCAGGCGCTCCGTTAGTGTCGTTATGTGTGTTTTTAATATATGATGGCAACAATGGAAGTCTGTTGCTATTAGACTGTGTATGAGAGGATGTGTGTGCATGTGTTCGGTACATCCGTTTGTGTGTGTGTGTGTCGAGCAAATGTTCCTCATAAAGCACATTATTAGCCGAGTTAGTCCGTGGATAATTAACTCTTCCTCCGTCTGTGAAAAGGCCGCTGTTAAGGGAGCCATGGGAAAATGATCATCTGTGCTGCAGAGGGAAGAGCCAGCGCTGGTGATGGGGGGGAGATCAGGGGAGGAGAGGTTGGGGTTAGAACAAGAGGAGAAGACAGAGACAACTGAAATGTGAGAGATGTGATGTGAATTTTATATCTGCAAGGAAATGAGAGTGAAAGCGCATTATGAGAGATAGAGGAGAGGCACCCACAGTGCCTTCAGACCTGTATCAAGGTCTGAAGGCACTGTGGGTGTTGTCTCCATGGAAACCAAGAGGAGCAGGAGAATGGAGGATCCTTTTATCCCTACTTTGTCCTGCGTGATCAAAGCTATAAAACCCACTCTCGTATCAGAGTTGCAGAAAAGTTTTTCAGACTCTTGGCTGGAGAGTTATTTTCAATTTAATGCAACTTTTGACTCTTTAGAGGAATAGTTGCAAAAGTTTGGGACATACATTTTTTCCAAATCTTCCTAAATATATCCTATAAATAAGAATCAGCAAAAAAACAACAACGTGCTTGATTTGTAGAATAAAGTCACCTTGAGAGCATCAGATAATATTGCTACTGCTACAACAAGGTACGTCATATTTTTCATTACATTTATGTATTTTACGTGTAAAGTTAAACTGACTAATAACACTGGCCTCAAATGCTCTCTTCTGAAAATGTTTTCGCCCGAATGCAGTGAGAAACCCTGAACTTTCTCCTTTTATGATTTCCCTCTCAGGATGGGCCTGCGGACTGAGGGCTCTGAGCTCGTGGTCTCCTTCACATCTGTGCTCTTCACTGACGGAGCGAAGTGTGGGAGGCAGATGATGCGAGGTGGTGGGGTGCTGAAGTTGCCTGAGCGTTGGACAGAGGTTGCAGGAACGTTAGCGGGACGTCTGGGTGGGAACTGGTGATGAGAAGCTGTCACCCGGTTTGATTTAAAGTGAGGGCTGCGGGAAACGCCCACAGAATCTTGAATCGTGTGTGTGTGTGTTGGGAGGGATGTGGAGGGGTTGGTAGTGGAGGAAGGGGGGGGTGGGGGGAAAAGGCTTTTGGGTGTTTGGTTGTGCGGTTCGGGGCAGAAGCCCAGCAACAGGCCCTGAGGACAGCAAACACACACATCAACACACAAAGAGATGACAGAGAAAACACGCCCATGATGACCTATATTCACCCGACACACACTCACACACACACACCTCAGTGTCGTTGTTGAGGTTCCACAGGTCCAAGCGGCCCATGCCATCCACGGCGGCGAACACGGCGGGGTGCACGGGCGACCACATGACGTCGTACACATAGTCGGCGTTGTCCTCAAACGAGTACAAAGGCTTGTTGTGCTGAAAGAGAGAGAAAAAAGAGGACATCTATGGACGTGTGTTTGGTGTCATAAAGCACTGTCGAGAAAGAGAGAGACAGTAACGGATTGCACAAGATGACACACTGGAGATAGAGAGAAAACAGAGAGACAGAGGGCGAGAAGGAATGGAGAGAGGGAGTGAGCGAGCTTCAGACAGAGTGGCGCTGCCTCAGCCTTGGGGCCTGTCTGGGTGCAGAGCCTAATTAAAAAGCCTAGCACATTCACACAGAACCATAAAACCGCTGGGAGAGATGAAAGGGAGGGCCCCTCCACAAGGTGTACTGTAACCTCAACACAACAGCTGTCTGCGGGAGGGTGGGGGAGAGATGGGAAGGGATGGGAGGAAATATAGGGGTTGACAATGTACGCGAGAAAGGATGTGTGTTAAAGTGTGTGTGTGTGTGTGTTTGTTTGTGAGCATGTAGGGCCGGATTCTTTCAGGCCTGCACTGGAATCAATGTTTCAGAGAGAAGCAGTATATTCATCTTTCGACATAAAACATTTTTCTTTGAGTCCAAAACAGTGTGACCATCTTTAGAAGATACGTGTCAGTGCTCTCTGGTGGACAAACTTCTGTCTTAATGATCTAAAGCAGAACCTTTTAGTTACTAATTGGCCAAAACACACACTGGTATACCCGTGATGAGACAACATTGGATCATAGTTGATCGAATCATTATCGATATCAGTATCGATCTATACGTTCGTGAAGTTAAGGCCCAAAAGCAAAGCAGGATGACACAAAAAACGAAAAATGTAAAAGTATTTAATAATGTTGTATCAGATAAGTTAGGTTTGTGTTTACCAAGTTATTTTACAGCAATTTATATATTTCATATTTTATTTTCTTTATGTCTTTTTGTTATTTTGTAAACCCTACAAGAGATAATGCAAGTCATTGTAAATGCAGGTAAAAGGCATTATATAACTTCCATTATTTTGTTTTAGAAAAAAACAATAAAAAAAGTAAGAAAATAAAGAAAAATAAAAAAATCTCACATAACCTCTTTACTCAACTGCTTAAAGGATTTTGATCTTGTGTGAATTAAAGATTGGTGGATCAGTTAAATACAGTACATATTGGAATATGGCTTAAGACAAGTGTGTGTGTGTGTGTGTGTGTGTGTGTGTGTGTGTGTGTGTGTGTGTGTGTGTGTGTGTGTGTGTGTGTGTGTGTGTGTGTGTGTGTGCCCATCTCTCAGAGCGGCTGTTAGGATTCCAGAGGCTCACAGACTGCATTCCTGACAGGTAGAGAGGGAGACAGGTTGGCTGGAGGAGCAGAAAGAGGAATGCAGTCTCTCGCCCACTCTCCTCCTCCTCTCAATCCTTCTCTCTCTCCATCACCTTTACCCTCTCGCTCCACAGTTGTTCTGAAATGCTGTGAGACCGGCAGACAGATAGCGACGCACTCTCACACAAACACAAACAAACAGTCCAGCCAATTTCAAGCTTCGATTGAACCTGTTTTCCAGCCGGCGGGTGACAGCGGAGGTCATTTTTCTCTATCTCGCAGTGTCAGCGTTCGATCAGACGTTCCTGTTTATGTTCTCACTCTTTTTATCCCCTCCTGGTTTTAGTCTCACACTCTTTTACCCATCCTTGGGCTCCACATCATCAAATAACCTAAAACGTCATTTCATTTTGATAATCTGGCTGAATTAAGCCCCAAATGCCATGTCACACCTTCTTTTTGAAGTAGGTGCTTCTGGTCTTACAGATGAATGCAGTCCTCTTATTCAAAATGTAAACTACTATTTTACCAAAGTCCATAATCTACCTATTTTAAATAAGGTGATTTGGGTAAATAATCTGCAGCAACAAGTCTTAAAACTAATCTTTAAATGGGACTTAATCCGCGTGGCGCCGCACGTGAAGTCACTGGTTGTCATTATCTCTCCTGCCGAGGAGCTCAGGAGCTTCCAGCCGTTTGAACTGGAACAGCAGCGCCGGGTACTGAGAGCTGACATCACAGTGTCACATTTAAGAGTGGATTGGTGCAATTTAAGATAAGTTAAGCATTGAATCAGAATCAGAATACCTCTATTCGTCCCACAGAGGGGACATTTGCATTTATACATTAGATATTGTTGTAAAAACATATACGTCAGCCTGCGTCGTCTGATGTTGCCTTCAAAAATATTAGTAAATATAATATAATATAAATAAGTCCCACGGAAATTATAGAACCTTTAACTTAACTTTAATAAATAGCTTTTCCTCCAGAGCCATACGACAACTGAATACAACAAACATTAAAGTAGCAATACAACGCATACAGTTACAGAAAAACTGCTCCTCAAGTCATGAACACATATTTATTTCATGCACTGCCTTTTTTTTCATTGTGCAATAAAGGAATTCCAATCTTTCTAACTTTTCAGGTCTGCAATCAACATTTTAGCGTTTGTGGTCTCAAAATGAAAAGTGAGTCTTATTGAAAACCTTCCATCAACTGACTTTCCAGAGGTTTCCAAACCATCTCCATCTAACTTCCCTGCTTCCATCCAATGGCTGTATGACAAACGTTGAAACACTAGCTTGATAGCTTAGCACTAGCTTTAGTAACTACAAAATAATAACGCCAAGAAATCCTTAACTTAAACTCAAACAGTCTTAATTTCATCACACAGACATCGCCTGAACCGCCTGTTCCTTTAATGAACTTCTTAAGAGGGGAAAAGAGGAACGATTATGCTCCAGTCACTTAGTGCAGGCTGGTTCTGGGGTCAAGAGAGCAACGGGGTTCAAGTTATGCACAATCATGAACACACTCCCAGCTGTCGGTGTGTCTCACACTCCGGCCCACTCCAAATGCTTTCACTAACCACAATATTTGCACCGCCGAGTGTGAAAACATCGGCAGACTTCTGTGCGAGACCCTCTCTGAACTGCGAGGGCAAACGTCAATGCAGAGAAGAGAATTCACTGCGAATGTGTGTGTGTGTTACAACAGTTGGGTTGAAGGCAAACCTCAGGAGATTTTAGGTAAGCAAAGGCGGCTTGCTTAGGTGCATGAGAGGCATGTGTGGTGTGTCTATATTTGGGCACACACACACACATTCACAAACACAGGTATTTTTCCTGCCCACACACAAATATGGGTTATGTGGGATGAGAGACAGACACACATTCCTGCGGTGCCCCTCAAAGGAAAGGGAATTCCCAAATCCTGAAAAATAACAAACTCTTCTGATGAAAATCCGCAGACATTTTTTTAATACGCATCACGGGACCCTTCGCACAAGACTTATGGACGAGCTGCATGCGAACAGCAGCTAAGATTCATCAGAGTGTTTAACTGCCTGTCACAGCGAGCATGAGGCTGTAACTGGATCTTGCATAAAGCTGAAGGCATTATGCAAGATGCATTATGTATTTTCCTCACATTGAAAAGGTCTCTCTTTGATTTGGCTGTTTGCTGTCTGACGCCCTGCTCGTGTTGGTCCCCGTGTCCTTCAGCGTTAGCGTCACCCTCACTATTAACCATGACCACTTTTTCTCTTTTTTGTCATCCTGGCACTTTTCCCCTAACTTCATTCTGCTGATCTCTCACTATTTACTGTTCTTCCTTCCTTCTTCCATCACCTTTACAAAGTTGTGGTATCTTGCTATTTGATGACCTTTGATGATCTGTAGCCTGCTGCCTCTTGACCTCTCCTGTCACATTTCCATTTGTATTCCTGGACTTTATGCCATCGTATGTGTGTGCAATCAATTTAAACAAAACTTGTTGCATTTTTCAACATCTTAATTTCTTTTTTATTCTCACAATAAGTATCTTATCTTATTATCCTCATGTTTTTTTCTCTTGTGCGGTATCTAAGACGTATCTGGGCAGACTACTCTGCGTCCCACCTGCACCACTCTTTGGATGTTTTAATGAACAAATATAAAATACGATACTCTTCTAACTCCCTGAGGTGCACAATGTTTAAGACCTAAGGAAACCAGCCAATATGATAAGAAGTGTCAAAGAATAATGTATAGAACAATAATCAATAGCTATAAATAAATCAAATGAATGAGGTTAAAATGTTGATACTAGAAAACTAAATCTATTTTTTTTTTTAGACATGCCTTTTCAAACATAATTAATATCTGTGTTATGACCTAATTTATTTTTCCTAAAGTAACAATTGTACTATTGTTAGTAAGCAGGCAGGAGGTTCTTCCCTAAGTTAGCATTACAAGCAAACCTTTAGTATTTATGTTGTATTGTCGGTACATTTGTTCTGTACACTTTATAAAACCGCAGCACTGCACTACTAGATCTTACTGAAGGTGGGTAGCAGATTTCCTGGCAGTCAGATACATATACACAAAGTTTGAAAATGATTTGTTCAGTCAAAGTATCAAAATCGAAACAATATCAATACTTACTTAATGTCATACTTAACCATAATTGTGTCTCTTTTGAATAAGTATCAGTATCCCTACACCCAGTAACTCACACACGAGTAAAAGGAGACAGACAGAAATTCAAAAAAAGTTGCTCACCTACAGTACTTAGCTAACTCCCCTGTCTCACTAGCTCTCTGTCACACACACATTTCCTCTCTCTTGAAATCACCTCACACACACACACACACACACACACACACACACACACACACACACACACACACACACACACACACACACACACACACACACACACACACACACACACACACACACACACACACACACACACACACACACACACACCACACACACACACACACACACACACACACACACACACACACACACACACCTTGGTGCTCCAGAGTTTGACGGTCCAGTCGAAGGAGGATGTGATGAAGAGATGTGAGAAGTCGACGGTGCCCACTGCGCTGTGGCAGCTGACGCCCGTCACCGGCCCCTGGTGGCCCTCGAACATCTCACAGATCCCCGCTTTGCTGCGGGAGGACGACACGAGCGAGCACGTCACCACACTATTCAGCCCTGCAGTGCACTGTTTCTATTTGATTTGTATTACTTACACTATTTTAACTATTTTGTATTCTGTTTTATTATGTTGCACCGTTGCAGGAGCCTGTGACCTAAGATTTGCATTGACAGATCTACACTGTAGCTGACAATAAAAGCCTTGAATCTTGAATCAGTGTTTTAGGTGTGTAAACTTTAATAAATAAAAATCCGTAAAATGGTTTGTGTCCTACTGAAAAAGGCACAGTAGGGGAACCTTTATTAAAACTGAAACAAATACCAATAAATTAAACTCTTTAATATATGGGATTATCATCAATTACAATTATATACAACAAGTCTGATATATATTGTAATTTTTAGACATTTTCATGAATTTTTTTTTGTATATTTTTGGCCAAAATATGTTTACGACAATGTTACAATTCTATATTGTACAGGTGACAAAAAAGACATCAACGTCAGCCCAAACATACAAAAGTGAGCCAGCAAAGATGTGTGACGATTTCTTCGCTTTTGTGTGTGTGTGTGTGTATGTGTGTGTGGGTGTGTGTGTGGGTGTGTGTGTGTGTGTGTGCACCAACCTGCCATGCCTGGATGCAGTGTACACAGTGCCCTCCTCACTCCCGACCACATAGTTGTTAACGTCTCCCGTGGGGAACGCCATGCCTGTCACCGCCACAGGTTTGGATTTATTGTACACCAGTTCCATGGTCTCCTAACACACACACACACACACACACACACACACACACACACACACACACACACACACACACACACACACACCACACACACACACACCACAACACACAAATGTCAGTCTGTTCTGTATACAAATATCAATACTGTCATCACCTTCTGTACTTTAACTTTTTAATGACAAAATACATGATGATTTGTATTGCATATTATACGTGTATTTTTTTTTTATTATTCTGCATTTTAACAAATCATTGTAATGTGTTGGGAGTGTGTTGTGCACCTGTGGCTGGGAGAGCATATCCAGACTCCAGGAGCACATCCTGCCGTCTGTAGACACAGTGATCAGGTTGTTGGCATTTTGGGGTACCGACCACGTTCACGCAGTACACTGGGTGCTACACACACACCACACACACACACACACACACAACACACACACACCACACACACACACACACACACACATACACACACACACACACACACACACACCACCACACCCACACACACCCACACACACACAACACACAACACACACATCACACCACACACACACCAACACACACACACACACACACACACACACACACACACACACACACACACACACACGAGAGATAACGACACAGGCACATCAATAAGATGGGTTGGGTTATTCAGTACACTTGCACAATAGAACAATATTAAATGTATCTCGTAACATTTCAACTGAAATATGAAAACAACAGTTCCCATTAAAATGCTTCTTATTCTCCTGGATATTGTGATCACAATCATACTAACTGTTGTGGTTTTTAAATGTGTCTTAATAATGAACTAGAATTGGATAAGACGTTCTATTAAATATTTCTGCACATTCATTCAGTTGCACTTCAAATATTTGGTTCATTTCTAACAGCAGTAGGCATTTAGGGACATAACATAATAATTTGATACGCTAATATTAATACAATTAGGTTTTAAACACAGTCCTGTAATGATAATGTAATTGTACCCTTAAACACATGACATCATTAGACATTCTGCACAGATGCGGTAGGCTCCCATGCCAGTGTGCAGTCGCTCCTTACGACAGGAGTGTGTGAAACCATTATGTCATTACTGGCCAGTAATTGACTTGTGTACTGGGCAGCACAAAGAGCCCTTTCAGCAATCAGCTCCCTGTTAGCAGGCTGGAGTCACTGACTGGAGTACGAGAGCAGGACCTCATTGTTGGAATTATAAACATACAGCGTGTGTGTGTGTGTGTGTGTGTGTGTGTCTACAGGACTGCTGTAGCTGTGATTATAAACGAACCGCATGTTAACATATTTCTAGTGTATATTCAGTAATTTGTCGTCTGGGGTCAATGAGTTCAATGAAGCTCCTTAACTGAGCTGTCTGTTTAGCTTTGTCTAGAATTGGACTAGTTAAGTGTGTGTGTGTGTGTGTGTGTGTGTGTGTGTGTGTGTGTGTGTGTGTGTGTGTGTGTGTGTGTGTGTGTGTGTGTGTGTGTGTGTGTGTGTCTATTGTTAAAATAATCAGTCTTGAAAATGCAGGACTATTATGTAAAAAATTTATTTCTGCATTAATGAGATATAAATGAATATCTATACATTAGGGTTTTATGTTGGGTTTTAATATTTCCTTTGCCTCTGAATTGTTCCTATTGTATACTTTTTCATTCATGTTTGAATTAAGTACAACAGGGAGCTTTTCTCATTTAGTTCCCAGCTTATTTTTACCAGTGCTACAATTAATAATAATTGTTATCATTGATTGAAACTTCATCTTTATTCATCATAGATTCCCCGGGTCTTTAAAAACATGAATTAGTTCGGCCCGCAGTCCAAAATATACATAAACATCGATACCTTAATATATTCAAATGTGTTTTGAGCCACAGTTTGTTTGTCTTACAGTGTGAGCAGCAGCAGACAGAGGGGTCCTCTGGACGGGGGTCCGGCGGTGACTGCGGTTGTCCCACAGGACGATCTGTCCCGAGTAAGTCCCCCCCACCACCAGGTTGGGATGAAACTTGGCAAAGCCCACAGATACTACAGGAGACTGAGAGGGGATGAGATATGAGATTATTCTGGTGTGAGGTCATCTTACAGGAACATTTGTGATACTGAAGGAGAGAATAGAAATGGTTTGATGAGATGAAATGTGGAGATAAAACTGCACAGTGAGAAAAGAGCAAAAATAAAGAAAGATATGAAGCGTGACACGAGACCAAGCGTGAGTAAGAATGAGTGATCAAGGCATCGTGATGGGTGGCGCACATGGGGAGATAGACGCAGAGGGAGATGATGAGTTTGGCTTTGGTGAGGGTCCGCTGAGGAGAGGAGAGAGGGGTGACGCTGGGGCGGAGACCAGACAAAGAGGGGAATTGTAGTCCTCTTTTCCCCAGCCGTTTCACATTACAGCATCAAAACCCCAGCAGCCACTGGAGCGCTCACTGTAGCCTCCATCATGACAAGCGCACCCTTGAACCCCCTCCCTCCCCGATGCCGTGTTTATTGAGTCTTGGTTCCTCTTCAGTGCCCGTCCCAGATGGGCTTCTGCGTACGGTGGCTAGCCTCCCCTGACCCAGAGCCACTGAAGCATCAGTGCTGCGGAGTTATGAGAAAATGTTTCAGCATCGAATCGCTGCAGGAGGGTAAGTGGTGTTATGCATTAACAAATGCGTCCCTCCATCCTTCCATCTAGCATGTTCCCGTTGAGAGGAATCATAATTTACAGGCGAGACGGGGCCAAGAGAGCACTAAACAAGAAGCTCACAGACAAGCATCCTAATTACAAACAGTGAAACTATGAACAACATGACGGGTGGATTTCGCAAAAACATTGTTGCCCAATAGGGTCATAGAGTTTGTCAGAAGAACGGGTGATGACAGTTTTAAAGTTCCAGAAAACGGTACGTAACGATTTTGTGTTCGAAGAGCTGCTCTAAAATGGGCTTTAGAGGCAAGGCTTGTCATTACTTATCAGAATCCTAACAAATAAATCACTCTATTCACAAGGCAATGTTGGCATTGTTTCAAATAGTGGGTGGCCTGAAGCCTGATGATATACTCATTTGTATTGGTTGGTTATTGGATATTAATATGATTTTACGAAATCAGTTAAAAGGATAGTCTAAATATTTGATAAACTATAGCCACGGGCTCAAGTAACAATTAGTATAAATGTCTAGGAGCTGCATATGTAGATTATGAAAAAAGTAACACTAAAACAGTACTCCATTTTGAATTTTTGATATTGTTACGCGGACATTTAGCTCTTTTTCAGCAAATATTTTGGCAGACACGGCTGTGTGGCAATTTGAAATCAAATCGAAGTGATGTCTTTGTGTTTCTTTTTATATTAACTAAATAAACGCTATAAAAGTAGTTTTAAGAAAACAATTAGGGCTCACATGAATCCACCTTTACATCAAATACATGCCTCACGCAGAAGGCATTGATGTGCCAACATGCAATGAGGTCATGGCACTTTTGGAAAGCAGAAGTTACTATATAGGTAGGGAATCTTAAAATTGGACTTCATGTTAAAGGAAAAGCCAAACATTTGTTTTATTTTCTTTTTTCGTTCCTTTCCCTCACGCTCTCTCCGGCCACCACACCATGTGCGGAGCCGCCAACTCCAAACCCCAGTTCCTTTTGAAAAGAGACTGGAAAACAAACCCGAGGGAAAGAAAACACTGCACTCTCTTTCTCTTTTTTGTTTCTTCTGAGGAGTCACGGCTTCCAGACGAATGGCTCGGGAGACGCTTCAGATGTCAAGGCTCAAAATAAACTGAACTTTGTGGTAAAGAATAAAGTCGCTCCTCCGCCGGCGAGGAGGAACTCTCTGAAATGTTTATTTACACGGCCGGGAAAAAGGAATTTAGATTTATTAGCATGTATTACCGCACACAAGATGGCCATAAGCTATTAATTAGATTTTAGAATTTGCTCTGATTTATTCCTTTTGCTAAATCATAAAAGATTCATTAAAATAATGTCTAAAACATATATCTGTCCCATGAACATAGAAGCCATTGAAAAGCAATTTGTGTACCATTGTCACTCAAATAATCTGATTTTTTTTTTTTACAAAATGCCTCTAAGGAATACTAAAAATCCCCAAAGTATTGAAAACTTTTCAACAGTAAAGCTACTTCACTTCAAATGTCAGGACGACAGCTCTCATACTCAAATACACTTGGGTGAGTCTGCCTTCACCCGGATCACTTTGATATCCAGGAGTTCTGGGATGACCTTTACACTCTGTGGTCGTCAGACAGGCTGCTGTCTGAGGTCTGCCCCCCGCCCCCAGTCAGACTCCATGAGTGGGCTAATGAACCCGAGACCCTCCTTCTCCATCATCTCTGTGCACAAACACACACATCCACTAACTAGCTTCATACACACACATGGCTGCAACACCACAACTATTTATCAGGCTTCATAAAGTAGGGGGAGATATTTAGCCTCAGGCAGATATAAGGGCGCAGAAAAACAATATCTAAATAGTTGAAGGATAATAACAGGCTAGTAACTAACATCTCTAAAGCGAGGATAGTTGTTTCTCTTGTTTCCAGTCTTCATGCTAATCTAAGCTAATTGGGTTAACATTTCCCAGAAAGGTCAAACTGTTTCTTTAACTACTTTCCCTCCACAATCCCTTTCTCTACGAAGCCTTATTTCCATGCCTACAGAGATTTAACAAAAACACAAGACTGTCATAAAAGTCAGTCATTACACATTCCAGATTTGTACATCAAATATATGAATACATTTATCTTTAAACTCGCTACAGAGACCTTCCTCTATTTGATCTATTCAGGAAAGATTAATATGACAACATGTTTAAGTATTAACATAATTAAAGACTCAAATCCACAAGCATACAGACACAAATAGAAAACATCCCCGCTTTGTGATTCTTCCAGCCGTTATCACGCTAAATAAACGTCTCTACTCCACATAAGTATTGACAAAGAGAAGCTAAATTAAATCAAGAGCCTCCTCTATTTACTCCATATGTTAGTTTAACTCCTAAGCCCTATCAGTGTCCCCATCTTAAGAGGAAAAGTCCTGACTAAACTCTGAATCCACTCTTTGAGAAACCACACGTTATGCCATCATTCCCCTCATGTACTGTACGGCTTAGTGAAAGAGCTACTGACAATTAGCCCGGCTTTGTCCCGGTGCACTTAGAGGCGCGTGCCAGCAGCAACATAAAAGCGCTTTTCTCTAAATGCTTCTAATCGTGTGTCACATCGGCACATATGTTTTGTAGCGTTATGCCTTTTAAACGTACTGTATGTCATTTGGTGCTGAAATAAGATCAATTTGTCCCGCGCTATAAGGACGTTTACGATGTAAGCGCATTGGGGAATTGGTTGACACTCTAAAGCGGATTCTCAATTGAAATGTCGTGTAGGAAATTAATGACTGAGTTTAGAGCTGAACTATGGAGCTCCTAGTTATGATGGATTTGTTTACTGTATTTTCATTCCTAAACATTTGCCATCAATGACTCAAACACTTTTGCATCAATTAGAGACATGTCACTGTGGAAACATAACTCTGTCATCGATGTGTGAAGCTAATATTCCAAATTAAATACAAAAAGGTTTGACATTTTAGATCAGCACAAAGACTGGAAACAGGAAGCTGGACTGGACTAATTATTGGACTGTAGCGAGTCATGTTTGAGTTTTAGATATGATGTTATCATGGACAGAGCCGCCTTGCTGTTTACCGGTCTCCAAACTTTCTGTAAAACGGGGTTAACCTGTTATAACTATTCCACAGACTTAAATGTTATCAATCTTCTCATCTAACTTTTCGAATAAGCATTTCTTCCCATATTAAACCTTTCCTTTAAATCAAATGCAGCCACACTCCTCCCATCCCCCCGCAGCTTCTCTTCATTTTAGATCACTTTGGACGTATGAGTCGCATGAGCACCACATCTGTCTAAATAACACCTCAACAACTCTCGTGTCGGCGATGCTCCCGCTATGATTGCATCTCCATATCAGCGCTTGTTACGGAGCCTGACATTTCATTTCCAAAAGGCAGAGTGGCTCTGTGGCTGGTTCTCCTCTCCCATGCAGCGCGGGTCAGACACCTGCCAGGTCATCTCCTGCCAGCGCAGACCGAGAGGATGTGGGGAGTGACAGCTCCCGGAAGAAAAAGCAGCGGAGAGAGTCACTTCGGTGTATTTGGCCTCGGATGAATTGTGGAAGTTTTACAGGGCGACACTCTGGCAGTCAGAACAGTGGGTTACATTTCTTTCCTCAGGCAGGATCTGCTGAGTGTTTATGTGTGTGTATGGGGAGAAACTCACATACACAAAGTATCATCTACCATATCTCACACAGGCTCGCAAGGCTAAGTGCTTCTGGCAGCCCTTATTATATTGATGGGAAGTGTTCTGTAGAGGATAATACACACATGGTAGGCCCTGGTGAAAGATGGCACCCAGCAAGGGATTAGGGGGGTACGAAGGAATGACAGAGAGAGAAAGAAAGCTGGAGAGAGACGAACACTCCCTCCTTTGTTGCTTCTTTCGATCTTTCACATTTCCTCGGGCAACAAACTGTTCCTTGAGTCGGCTCGGGACGGCAGAAATAAAGCGAGAGTGAGAAGAAAGAGAGAGGCGGGGGGGGGGGGGGGGGGGGTGATCGGGCATGGCAGACAGTATATCCTCCCAAAAGTAGATCCACGCTCCATCCTTTCCCCCCTCCTGCCTCCCCCCCTTTGCTCACCACACTCATCTGTTTTCCACTCAGCCTTATCAGGACCAGATGGATCTGACTGTCTTCCCTCGCATCCCCGCTCCTCAACCTCCCGACCACCTTTCTCCTCCCTTTCTCCCCCTGGCTTCGCTCGTTTATGACACCCCACGGATTTTGTCACTCTGTGGTTTCTGGCAAAGAGAGAGAAATACCGAGCAGAGTCTCAATTTCACCCTGCAAAGAATGAGGAGCGAAAGCATGAGGAAGAGGCTCTGGGAGCAACAACAGGCCTGTCTCTGCCTCCAAGGGCTCCTATCTCTTTATTTCATATATTTAGTTTGTTGGGCTCATATCTTTTTCTTTTGCCTGTTAGTTGCTTTAATGATGGTTGCGTGTTTGACTCAACCATCACTGCTGTATTCTATTCTGATATTGAAAACAGTTCTTCCTCAGGTCTGTTTTCCAAACACATTTATATCTATTGCAATATTACCACAGAATGTAAAACGGGGCAAATTGAGCATTCTTAAACTTTGAATTCCTTTTGAAAACTTACTCTAGTTGAAAAACTGGGTATAATTTGCTATTTGTCAATATTGTGGCCAAAAGTCGACAGTTTCCATACCGATATTAAAACAATACTTCTTCTTGGGCTCTTCTATCTTGGGTAGGAGAGTATATTTTTTCAAAGTTTAACATGTTGGGAAATCTGCTTTCTTGCCGGCAACCTCATTTTAATAGTACCAGAACACACCTGGAAGAAATAATGAAACCAAATAAAGTAACCCACTATAAAATAACATCTTAATTAAACAAAAAAAGATGTGCTAATAAGTGAGCTTGTATGTGGACTTTCGCTAGCTGTTTTATTTTTTCCAGATCTTACGCTAAAGTCGGTAAACCTGTGGTATCAATCTTCTAACTCTTAGCAATAAAATATATTTGCATAATACGTAACACTTTCTTTAACTCTCAGCCATGGAGAGTAAGGCCCAATTCTCAACACGTTGGGTTTAAGAAGAACTGGTTTCAATTTCCAGACTTTTTTTTTGTTGCAAAATGAAACACTGCTTTTCGTACAGCCAAAGTTGTACAAATAATCAAATTCACCGCAAAATTCAACCCTAAAACGTTTTTTCCAGAACAAGCTACATATGTTTCCAAATCAACTCCAGTCTCACAGTCGTATATTGCTTCGCTAGCGCTTACAGGAGTTCTCTGCTAAGCTTTCTGAACACAATGCAGCTTCATCCTCCAGTGTCATTTCACATTGGTTCCAACTTAGAAAAGGCCTGTGAATAATGCTGTTGCAGTGGTCTCTCTTTTCGCTCCCTACCCTCCTTCCCTTCCTCTCCTCCGCTTCTCTTACTCAACCTTCCTGGAAGTGTCAAAGGCCTAGGGAACAACGCAAGGCAGCACGATATTAATAAAAATATGTCTGAGTCCAATGGGATATGACAGCAGCGGCGGGGGTTGTTACAGGGAGGCATGTGGTTTCGGGGGTTCGGCAGAGGTTTTAAGTCAAACGGGCTCTTTAATGTGGTGTGACTTTGCCAACTTGAGAGGCTGGTGTGAAGTTACAAGATTGGCCCCAACTGGGATGGGGCGATGATGGGTCCAACTGCTGAGACGTCCCTGATGAGGGGAGGCACGCTCAACTGGTACCAGAATCCACAGCAGCGCCCCCTTCCCACTGACGGGTCACACTTCCTCTGTTATGTTACAGATCACTGGCGGCTAAAGTGGAGTCATGAAACTGCCCCCGGTCATCAAGGGGATGTTTGATATCAGTTATAGTTTATTCGCTGTCTAGAATGAATGAGAATTCAAGATCTGTGAATATAAAACTTGAAATATATATTGAAAACAGCTTAGACATGATTCTTTAATGTCACTTGAAATGGAATTGATGAATCTTGAATGGTTTAGGATCGACGAGGGAACACCATTTGTCAAACCAGGACCTGTCTGTTTAACTGTGGCATTAGAATACAATATTACAACACTGTTGCAGTCAGACACACACTTGTACACCTCCCAAAATCAACACCAATTTTTCAACGTTTTACTTTGCACAACACCAGCAAGTCACAGACAATAAATCCCAACAGGGCTAACTGATAAAAAACATTGCCTAATGAGAAATGATGTGTAGTGTCAAGTGTAATTAAACAAGGTCCCTACAAAAGTGAATACAGCTCCAATATAGCTCCGAAACAAATAAAACTGCACCGGACACATTTCTAACCAAAATGTGAACCCTTGTTTAGGATAAAACATTTAGACCCTGAATAGGAGGTTGTACGTTGTTAGGAAGGTAGTTTTTTTGCTTTGCTAAGCCCATCCACCAAACTGCATGCGGCCAGGCAAGAAATATAGAAGCCTGACCTCACCAAAACCCCATCTGAAACACGAAGCCTTCTATAAGCCTAGCCTTATACAATAAAGCCCCTGCTGAACCTCAACCACAAACCCTCTAATTCCGACCCTGCACTGTCATTCTTTGGTACCCTTCAAACACGAGTATGATACTCATTATGTGCACTATAGTATTCAGACATCGACCTATCCATCCAAAAAATAAAACCCACAATAGATGCATAGAGAAAGCCTCCTATCCGTCTGTTCTTTTAGTTTAGTATGGGACGTTGAAGGTGAAAAGAAGAATAGGAAAAAGTAGAGAAAGAGGGGAAGAGGCCCCCGGCCCTGTGGTTTTGGGGGGTTACTCGGCAGAACATGCTCGCACATTAAGAGCCATTTGATCCACGGCTAACTAGGGAGTCGCGACTCTGTTTGCAAAAGACCCCGCAAAAAGGAAAAGAAGAGAAAAAATGTCTCTTCTCCTCTTCCCTCTCGTCTAACCGCTCCTGTGCTGCTTTCATCCAAATCCAACAGTGACAGGGGAAGTCATGGCTGAGGCACTTGCAACCCCTTCTTTCTATTTCCACTCCATTTTATTTTATCTTCATTCATCCTCTGTTTATATGGGCACTCCATTACTCCAACTCCCTGCTCATTTGCGCTCTACTTTATCTTCCTTTCGCTGTTTTTGAGTCATTCACTTTTGTTTCTCCCCGCATGAAAAGAGCATGGCTCAGCCCCAGGCCACACTAACTCACTGACTAACACTGGGGCGGTAGGAAAGTGAGGCACTTGGGAGTTTCTGTTCTCTCAGTTTTTCTTCGGTCTTTTCCCCATCTGATATCACTTCATCTAATGCACATCTTTCCAGTAAACACTCACTTACAAAAAAAAATAAAATCTCGGCATGTGGACAATTTTTGGACTTTGTTTGAAGAAAGTGCTTCGTATGAGTCTGAGAATCAAAAACAAACACAATTGACAATACGTTGTTATGTAACAGACACTTATTCCTCTGTTTTTCAATGAAAACAGACGCTATTGTATTCCAATGAGCGCATTGTCACGTACACTCGAGCACAATTCACCTCTGTTGCACACATTAGCAGCTGAATGCACCCTTAATATAAACTGAGCATTTTATCAGCTGCTCACACAAACATCCTTGAACCCCAACGTCTAATATTCATTACTGGTGATCCACAAATAAGCATGCTCAGAAACCGCAATGTTAATAAAGTCAGATGTACTGTGAATACTTCGTCAGAGAACCACATGGAAAAACTACTGAATCCTACAGCTACACGATCCCTCGCTGTAATCTATCCTTAAGACCACATGGATTTTAGCAGCGGCATAAATTATGGTGCAGTGAAAGAACCGAGTGCTTTAAAAGTCCATTATGGAACGAGACTTGTATAGCGAGCTAGATATTGAAATATTTCCACGCAGAGTGCGGTCTTCTGGAGTATGTGGTTCTGTATGTGTTCGACAAAAAAGAAAAAAAATCGATTTCCTGTTTAAACGAAGCCTAAATGTGAAAGTATGTGTGTGCATTTTATTTCTGAGCAATGAAGCCTGTGACTTTAATACTTTTACAGGTGTATTTACAAATTGCAGTGACGTGTATGAGGAACATTTTTAAATTATTGGGAAACCCGGCACTGCTGACATTAGAGCATCAACGTGGGTGGGCTAACACACACATGTGGCAGCGTTGGATTAGGAAGTGGTAGGCCACATCATTTAACTAGCAAGACGGCCTCGCCTGTCTCGCGGGAGCCGTGAAGCCCTCACACCCAATCCTTCTATCCCTCTCTCCTCCATCCCGTTTTCTCAGTGTCACTTGTTATTAGCATCTCACCCATCATTGAGTTTCTTTCCAAACCAAAACCTACCTTTTTGCCATTAAAACTGGCCTGCAGTGCCACCGTTCAGCTTTAATCCAATCTGGAGGGTCAAATGAGCGCTTGTGGTGCTGCCTTTCATTTCCCTTTGCTTCACTCGTTACTATTCAGTCACAAAGGGGCTCTCATTATAGGGTAGAAAAGAGGAAAAAGCTGGAGCTGTTGGGTTGCCATTTAAGGTATGAAAAGAGGTGAGAGGGAGATGTAGCATGATTTGTTCTTTTTTTTGTAGGTTTGTTGCAGATGTTTGTACACTTGCAACTAAACACCCAGAAAACATAGGAGAAATCAAATAATGAAAATGAACATCTTCCTGTCCTGAAATCATATCTGCCATCATATTTTGTAGTTGTGAAAATATGTGTACAAGTACCTGACAGTGATAGATGTACTCAGGTGTGGCCTTCTTAAATTTCATGTTCCATACTAAAGCAACACCATCCGGTTCATGAGGAGCATCCTCATTATTGTTGTAAGAGGCGACCAGCAGCTCTGGATACTGAAAGAGAGAGACAGAGGGATGGAAATATAAGTATTAAAGTGATGCTCAACACCTGAATGTTTGCTGTAAGACTTTAGGAAGCATAGTTTTGGATTTATTCATTTTAAATGTACATTGACACACACATAGCTGCAGGCCTCACCTGAGGGGACCAGTCGAGGCAGGTGATCACGCGATGTTTGGACCAGTGTTCATCGTAGAAAACTCGGCTGAAGGACAGACTGGAGCCGCTACCCAAGTCTCTGAAAAAACACAGTAAATATATCATGAAATATCCTGCCAGGAAAATAATGTGCCTTCAGTCTGCAGGGGTCGGTTCAAGGTTTTTATTTAGTCATACGAACATAGCTACAGTGTAGTTATGCCGATGACAATCTTAGGTCACAGGCTCCTCCAACAGTGCAACACAAAACACAGATAAACAGAAAAATATAGTGCCAGTAAATACAAAAAGAAAAATAGTTTAAAAAAGTGAAATAGTGCAATAAGAGTCTATATGCAAGTTATTGGAATATGATATATTAGATAGATTATTTCTAAGTAGCAGCCAGATGAATGTTATGGATGTTGTTTCAACAGTGCAGGTGTTTAACAGTCTTATTGCCTGTGGGGTGAAACTGTCCCTGAGTTGTGATCACTGCTGGGGTCACTCCAATCTGGAAATCCACACCGTGTATTCGAAATAGTCAGATTGTTGCATCATTTCAGTAAGCTGTTTTGTATTTTGTGTCTATTTGTTCATTGCAACTCAGTCAATTACAACATTACATTACATTACATTGCATTTAGCTGACGCTTTCATCCAAAGCGACTTACAATAAGTGCATTCGACCAAGAAGACACAAACTAGAAGAAAACAGAATCATATAAGTACATCAGGTTTCATAGAGCTAAAACATTTCAAGTGCTACTCAACTGGCTTTAGATAAGCCAGTCCGTTGTTAGTATATAAGTGCTTTGTTAGTATGTAAGTGCTGAGTTATTATATAAGTGCTTTTTATTTTGTTATTTATTTTCTTTTGAATTGTATCGCTCGAAGTGGAGTCGAAAGAGATGAGTTTTTAGTCTGCGCCGGAATATGTGCAAGCTTCCTGCTGTCCTGATGTCAATGGGGAGCTCATTCCACCATCTTGGAGCCAGGGTAGCAAACCCACGGGTTTTTGCTGATGGGAACTTGGGTGCTCCTTGCAGTGCGGGTGCAGCGAGCCGTTTGGCCGATGCAGAGCGGAGTGCACGTGCTGGGGTGTATGGTTCAACAAACATTGTTCACTATTCACTGTGAATGATCTCCTTTGTCTGCCGTGCTAAATTAGATTGAATGGTGGTTATGTTTTTACAATTACATTAAAACAAAATGGAAACGGTGAAAAGGAGAGTACTGATGTTGAGCCTGTTTTAGAAATAATCTCTATTTGACCACAGGCTTGATGCTTAACTGTGGCTGCAGTGGTCAAAGTCAAAGTTAGAAGCATTTGTATATAATAGCAGAGCAGTATACAAACACATCATTGCATTTCTAACTTCAACCGACACTTTGATAACCTACAACTGTTCAGATTGCAAGACGAGAGGATGGATGTCAGTTTTCCCCTGAGAGGGTGACATCAGCAGGAAAACATGCAGTTTGAAGAACAAAGGAGTTCCCGGGACCCTAAAGTGTCACAGTGGGCATGAGTCAGTCTTTGCACATTTGCTAGTTTGAGGCACGCAAGCAAACACACACACACACACACATGTGCTCTCACAGCCAAACACAGACTCTCCCTCCTCCCTTCCAAACTCACCCCTCCTTCTCCTCCAGGTCCAGGCCGCTGTAGTCGAAGAAGATGTTTCCGTCTTCGGCCAGAGCTCTCTCCATCACCCGGATGCTGCAGTCGAAGAAACTCTGAAAGTCTGAAGAGTGCAGGATCTGCTGCCTCTCCTCCTCCGTCAGCTCTCTCAGAACTGGAAAGGAGCCTGGTGAAAGGAACATTTCATAAAGACAAGAGCATGAGAGAAACAGTTATTCACACATTATGCACAGCGCACCCCGGAAAAAACGTGGGTTTAACATCTTAAAACTTTGCATTTGTTTTGTCCGACCAATCTTCCAAATTCCAAAGATATTACATTTAATTTTATTATAAAACAAGAGAAAAACCTTCCTCACCAAGTAGCTAGAAGTAAGGAAGGTTGACAATACATTTAGCTGATTTATGTTTTATCAATGTACTTTATTTCTTGCAAAAGTGTATTATCAGTACTAATTAGAAGCTGTTAAATCTATGTAACATTTTCTCTTTTCCTTTTTATACCTAAAATATAAAATTGTTCAATCCTTTGTTGCATTATTTAAGAGAAACAAATAATAAATCATCTCAATAGTGCATTTAAAACTGTAATAAGTCAATAGTATTTGATGTGACCTACAAAATACAGGTATGTGTTTTGGTTTTAAACAGCTGAACCACACTTTCGCTCTGTACCGTTCAAAAGGGTTTTACTAAGACATTTCTATATTTTTAAACTCAACTAAGACATCTGTATTTACACTACTCTAATGATTGTGACAACCTACTTTTAATAACTGAAAATAGTTCAAATGCCTGGCTGTGTATGACTTTAATGCATTATAAAGAAAAAAGGGCTTCCGCTGTCAGATTAACATTCACTTCATCTCTATCAAAACCAGGATCCCATCAAGGACATACTAAACTACAAACAGTTCCTAATGCATCTCTTCTAATAAAACCCTACAGTAAGAAGTTCATAAACAAGAGAAAAAACAAAGCGTCCCGCCTCCCTTTGAACGTAATGGCTGCACAGCACGGCGTCCGGGTTTTGAAGTCACTGTCCCCAAGCACACATGCGATTTTTACACACACACACACACACACACACAGGCACGCACAAACACACATATATCGACCTTTACCCTGCCTCTTGACTTTGATCCCCCCCCCATCCCTTTGTATTTCTTACGAGTTGTCAGAAAAGAGCCAGTGATTCGAGTGGCAGAGATCAAAGGCCAGACCTTCTAATAGGCCAGGATGGAGAGGAGACGGATGACTTTGTGTTTATGAGTGTGTGCGTGCATACATCTGACTATGTGTGTGTGTGTGTTTGAGTCACATTCAGTGCCGTCAGGAGTGTGTTATGAGTCTGAATAGGAATATGTCTTTCCATCTGTGTTTGTATCACATGTTGTATTTTAATCAAGCCTAATCTCCATATTTCACAACACAAACGCTCCACATACACACACGCGCTTCTCCATTCCTCTCCTCTTTGAAGTGTGGTCAGGGGGGGGGTCAAGTGACAGGTTTTTAATCAGTGCTGACCCCCACATGCCATGGAGCTGATATGCTGGACCCGCCTTAACCCCCACCATAATCACCCCCGTCCTTCCATCTGATACACCCACTGACTGGCAGACGGTGTCAAACACAAGTGGCCGTGATTCGTGACAGTTTCAAAAACAACATGAGAAGTTTTTCTGTCTGCAGAAATTCAGGGCACAATTGCTACATAAAGTTAATTAACAAACACAAATAAATGAACTAAAATGTGTTTGCAGATGCATTTTATTTCATCGAATAACTATTTATTTCTTAAACTGTACTGTGACTTTCATGGTTTTATTTCATGCCTGTTTTATTTAAATTAGTGTTTAATGTTTCACATTGTATTTAAATGTCCTTTATTACGCGCTTTTTTGCACTTTGTTGCTATGCTTTAAATGTTTTAAAACACCATTGTTGCTCTAATGTGCTTTGTATTCAAACATGCAGGAGGAAACCTACAAGAGAAAATGTAACCAGAATAAATAAGGTGATTACGGATCTCTAAAATGCTAATAGCTGAACATGTTTACCCTCCATGGATTCATCCTTTGTACCTTCTTTGTTTTCTCTGTTGTCATCTTCATCCTGTTGCTCCGACTCAGGGCCTGGCTTCGCCTCCATCATCTCCTCATCTTCCTCTTCCTCCTCTACTGAGAGAGTCAAATAAAGAAAGAGAGAGAGAGCACTCATGTTAATCAACAGCTGTTCCAATTTTCCTCTACCTCCCGCTGCGTCCTGCCTTCCCCCCCTTCTTAGCAAAATAATCATTCCCAGACAAGCACCGACGTACACCTGACTAGCTAACATTCTGTCCAAATGGGTTTCATTTACAAACACACGCACTGCTGGGTTTTTTCAAAAAAACACAAAATGTCAAGCATTCAGGCTGCAGAGTTTCTATTACACTTGCGTATGTTTACTAAGTAGTATACATTGTAATATAAAAGGAAACAAGCTTGTAAACGTATCCGTATTGTCTCTCTGTTCACATGGTCTGCATATGTGCAAACAAATATAACACACAAAAACACAGAGACGGACAGCAGGAAGTGTCAGAGTGTCTTTCACCTTTGACCCAAAATCAAAAAGGTCCATTGGTGTGTGTGTGTGTGTGTGTGTGCGTGTGTGAAGGGGATTCCCTCTGCATTCCCTCTAATCAGGCTCAGCAATTATTTGCCTCTCCAGGATGTATTGTAAGTATGTGCAGTGTGTGTGTGTGTGTGTGTGTGTGTTTGGGAGGTGGTGGGGTTCAAGTATGAAGGGTTACTGTCAACATAGGCACCTGCTTGTCAGCTACTCCCCCCGCCAACAAGCCCTCACTCCCCTCGGGGTGTGTGTTGGTAACCCTTACCAACCTCTCCTCCTCTTTTCTGTTGCTCCTTCCCTCCGAAACAGATGCTTAGATTTTTTTGGGGGCCTCTCTCAGTAGACCTCTTAACACCCTGACACCGTGACCAGACACCTGTGGTCTGCCAACACACACGCTACACACATACGATCTGTCTTTCCCTCTCTCTCAAACACACACACATCCCGGGGCCCACGCCTGTAGAGCCAGGGGTGGCGAGGGGTTAACTGGCGCAGGGTCAAGCTGACAACAGTGGCTCAGTGCAGCGGGAGGAAGTGACTACATCACACTCTCAGACGTGTCATGTCTCTCTCTCACACACACACACACACAGAAACACACACTCACGGGATGTGTTTAACTCAGCTGGAGTATGGCCCGGGGCACTGTTAAAACCACTTGCTGAAGCACTGCTCTTGCACCGGACGAACTGTCTATTCATCAACTTGGACTCGCCTAAGCTTTTGATAAACTCACTGCTGCTCTTTAAAAAGGTACAAATTTGATTATAATGGTGGAGTGATCTCATCAATATGATTGGGATCACTTCTGGCTTTAATTTACTTACATTTAAGGCTTCCCAGAACATCCTGTTCTCACCCTTTTTCCTCTACCAAATGTTTGATATATGACTTTCTTACTGTACATAATCAATCACTAAGCCATATCAAATGCATGCCGGTGAGGCTCAGTCCAAGTAAGTGGTTAACAGTCAGCAGTAGTGATCCAAACACCAGTGACCCACCAGTATGGAGGAGAAACCAGGGAAAAAACAGACAGGCAGGCTGCCAGACTAGCTCCATGTCTGAGCTGCCAAAACAGCCAGGCAAACAGACGCACAGGAATACCCCTTCATTCAGGCCTTTTGTCATCCATTGATGGATCAAGTTTATACATTTTGAATTTTTCAGATATTGTTTTCTTGTCATCTATCAGTCTCATCACTATTCCTCTCCACAAACGTCTGTCATTACTCTGATATGGCTTTAGGATGTGAACAGAAATGTGGGGTCCTGCTAATAAGATGCATTACTAATTTATATTCTTAAATGTTTTCCTTGACCTTATATGACCGGTCCGCTGGTTGGAATGTGTGGTGATGGGAGGAGCGTCAGTAGAGGAGAGAGAGACCACATTGAGGAGCGGTCAAACTGTCAACCCCCGGGACCACAGGACTCTGGAGCAAGGCAGCGTGATTCATGGCCTATGGATAACCTCACTGAGGGGAGACGGTCCAATTCCCGTATGCTGATGTCGTTGCCAGCGGCAATGCATCGAGTTGTGCTGAGTCCCCGCACCAAAAATATCCTGGCTATTTCCTTTGAATGGACATTTTTAGGGGTACATGTTTATGTATGTAAGTAAAGCAAAAGCTCTATTGTGGTAAATGATATTGGAGAGTAGGATCCATGGGTTGGAAATGATGATATAAAAGTTTTTTAAAATGTACATGCAAACACACACAGGGTTTACTGATGTGTTGCAGAAGAAGCAGGGAGGGGAAATCAAAAGAGACAATCTTCCACAGTTAGAGTGTGTCTGCTTGCTACCCTGTAAGTATCCACACACTTTCTTATGTCCACCTCTTTCCAGTCACGGGATGCTTTCTCTTTCCACCTGCCGCTTAATACCGCTCCTCACCGCGGGACAACAGGTTAACCGGTGTCCTCCCCCTCGCCGTAGACGGGGGTCCACCTTGATGAAACTCCGCTTGGGGGCTCCTGTTTTGGCCGACTACACACCCGGGGTAATGATATCCTCCGTAGCCTGGGGCTGCCTCAATCTTCCCCCGGCTGCTTACTCATGCTGACCGTGCCCAGTCAATTCTGCACAACCCAGCAGGTATGAAGACACACAGATTCAGTGTGGAGATACACACAAACAAATGTGTAAAGGTGGTTTGTAAATGTATGAGGGGCCGTACAGGCCGTAATTCATACTGGTCCTCTCACGCACATACATTCTCCTTTTACATACATATATTTTCACTCTTACATACATACATATATTTTCACTCTTACATACATACATTCTCCTTGTACATACATATATTTTATAATATATGCATGTCTGAAGAGAATATATGTATGCAAGAGAAGAATGTATGTATGTGTGAAGACAATATATGTATGTGAGAGAAGAATGTATGTATGTGTGAAGACAATATATGTATGTGAGAGAAGAATGTATGTATGTGTGAGAGAAAGTATAGTGGAAACGGAAGGAGTATGGTTGAAACGGAAGGCAGGTCATTATCGCGCTGTGATTGGCTCAGAAGGTCGAGCGGGGCGGGCTCATGTTCAGAACTTCTGATTCAAATCAACATGATGGAGGGAGAGGGTTAGGGTTAGATGACTCCGTGTATCTACGGACCACTTGTTTTTCTTTATTAAACAAGTAAACGGAAGAGTGTCTGCGAGGCGTTTTTGCTTTTTGTTTTTACCTTACTAAATGGTCTAATGGTCATTGTAGCGAGGGGGGGGGGGGGGGGGGGGGCGCGATACTCGCGGAAGTGATTTCAAAACAAAAGCACTCGTTTGCTTGGAACGTTGAACATAATTATAAACAAGGGGAAACAAGGTGAATTTAGCGATCACAACGAAAACGGCCAAGACACACATTGAGCCCAGAAAATGAATGTTATTAAGGCTGTAAATATAATAAGCATGTGTCTAAAATGGACAACATTGTTAGGAGATTTAAACTATACAGCGATTCTGCACTGCGGTCACTCAGCCGTCTCTCGCGTTTGTCTTTTCAAATCAGCTGCTCTTCATATTTTACAAATATTTTTTAATGAAAGTTCTTAATAAAACTGACACTGTTGGACTCGAGGGGAGAAGAATACATGGACAACATTGTTAGGAGATTTAAACTATACAGAGAGCCGTTTTTTCAAATCAGTAGCTCTTCATTTTCTTTTTACAAATATATTTTACCACAAGTTCTTCATAAAACTGACACTGTTGGACTCGGTACTAGTTTGACTGCTACTAACAATACATTGAAGTACTTTTACTGTGTACTTTGTGAGAAATACTCTGTCAAAGTCCCCTCCATATAGCACATCATCTAATGCATCAGTCCGTCCCAGGCGGGAGTTTATAAACCAAAGAGTAACCGCCCTTACGGCACGCTCTGATAAGTAAAGCGAACGCACCCGCAAGGACACCTGGCCAGGGATGTGACAGTTTCAGGGGTTGACAAAATGTTCCTTAAAACCCCTAATGCTTGCTGCAATCTACGCGATTCATCTCCCTCCATCATGTTATGTTGATTTGAAATCAGAAGTTCTGAACATGAGCCCGCCCCGCTCGACCTTCTGAGCCAATCACAGCTCAAGAATGACCTGCCTTCCGTTTCAACCATACTCCTTCCGTTTCCACTATACTTTCTCTCTCACATACATACATTCTTCTCTCACATACATATATTGTCTTCACACATACATACATTCTTCTCTTGCATACATATATTCTCTTCAGACATGCATATTATAAAATATATGTATGTAAAAGGAGAATGTATGTGCGTGAGAGGACCAGTATGAATTATGGCCAATAATTGACCATGACCAATTATTTTAGCCGGCCCGGCTAAAATAACTGGATGGCCTACCTGCCTGTCAGCCTTCCATCTCGTGCACAAACTTATCTCGTGCCCTCATTGGTCATGTGCGCGTTCGTGTGTGTTGGAGGAGGGGCTCTGTAAGGAAGTCTGACGGAAGGGGCAGATTTTTTTTGGCTGCGTAGTTTCAAATTCTAGCGCACTCGAGCTGGTTTTCTACCCTACCTTTAAGCCACCTACAAAGTCAGTCAAATGTAGAGTAATTTCTTGTTCAATGCCCAGCTATACATGCAGACCATTTTATTAAGATAGAAGTGAAGATGCATACAATGTCAGGCACTGATAACCCTTTACAACCATATGCTTGATGTGTTAATTTATTCCGTTTTTGCATTTCCTTTTTGTGTTTAATAGAAAATAATGCTTAAAATTCATCAAGTTATGATTACCACAGTAGGGGTAAAGTATTCGCCCCACACACACATATTAGCAGCTAGACCCGAGGTAAAGCTTGTGAGGCTAACCAAGCAGAATGATTTTCTTCACCACACTTCCTCACACTGATCAAACACTGTGGCCGTTTCTCAATCGCGAGGATGCTGGCTTGGTAATCGCGTACTTCCAAGTCACTTCCTTCAGAAACGAAGCAAGTATACTTCCAAGCCACGGCTTCGGAAAACGAAGAAGAATGGAACAGGCTAACAAGTGTGCCACTCTCTCTAACGGTTTCAACAT